AATCCATCCAAATCTGAAAGTGCTATCCATACTCAATCAGGAGATAATATGTCGAAGATTATATATAGGCCGCTGGGATCTTAAATTATTAACTTACCTGGTTGTCATCAAGGGAGTACCACATGCCACTTGATGTGCGAACATAACAATAATAGTGGCCAGAATAGGTGCTAGCCCCGCAATGAACTAAAACCCCATAAAGAGTATATTTCAAATCTCCTTCCTACCAAATAGAAGATAAACTCAGATTAGAATACAAAACCATGATGTGGAAATAAGTACAATGCATGGAATCTAATCAATTCAGCTACAAATGAACTGTGGGTTTCTCTAATCTGTTATGTCAGCCATAAACCTAATGGTCCAGATTTTAATTCCTATTTTAAACTTTGTTTTACAGAAGAAAAAAAAATAAATAATAAAAAAATAAAAATTGTAAAAAGGACTGTAGAGGAGTCCTAAATAAAAAAGTACTGTATAAGCTGAATTGATTAGGACAGTAGGAGACATTTCAAGGGAAAGCCAGCTTCTACGGTACTTTTTTCTTATAATTTTCCCACCAGTTTGGCCTCCCAGTTTAGCCTTATGACCTCTATGTTTCTCATTCAACCTCATTTCCCTTGTTACATTTTTTACATGCACTACACTCGGAACTACATTTCAAGGAAAATGCAAAATAAAATACTGTTTAAAAATCAGCATTGGGCAACATTATGAAATATAATAAGTAACAGAATCAGTGACTTGAACAATCAAATGTTGCAACTCGTATTTCAACTAGATTACTTCAATTGTGAATTGAAGAAATCAAGGACTAAAGCTTGCATAGCTGCTAAGTTAAAATAAAGAATGAATACTTACATAGGAACCACTAACAAAGGGCCTCAAATCCAAGGTAGGACCAAATTTAACATGTCTGTCAATTTTTCGTCCAGGATCATGTGCACGAAACCGCTTTAAATGGATGGTAAGAACATAAGGAGGCTTGTGAACAGTCATCTGCTTGAGAGCCCGAACTTTCTGCTTGCACTGTTGGCACTGATATTGCCTTTCCCCTCCATCTAACTGTTCTGCGGCAGTAAAATTTCCAAGTGCTTTTTGCAAGGAATCTGCCTTGAATATTTCAAGGCTCAAATCTAAGAATGGGTCAAATTTGTTGGAGCAACAGGAGCATTGCAAACATTTGACCTGAAGAAATAACACACACCCGGATTAAAAAATATCAGAAAAATATTTCAAATCCTTGCCTATTTAGACAATATTCATACACTCATTTGGTAAAGCATCTACAAACACAGAAAGTTTACCATTATACCTTACAATTTGGTACCACAAAAAGGAAACAGAACAAAACAAAAATCTACCTGACTTCGAAGACGACCACCAAAGATCTTGTGTACCAAGCTCTTCTCATAGGCGCTAGAGGATTCGCTTGGCACTCCAGAAGGTAAACAGCATTTATGCATGGATTCCAGCAAGTTTACCATGTATTCATGTGCATCCTCCTGTCTAGACTTAGTGAAGTTTCGAGATATGCCTTATTATGTTGTCAAGGATTCCAACATCCAAAGCATAGAAATACAAGAAAACAAGCCAACTACAACACTCAAGAACTGACCACTGGTTAGACTTAATAAAATGCAAATCGGAACCACATGCAAAAATAGAAAACCTTTTTTTTTCAAACTCCATTAGACTTGTTACTGGTTATTAAAAATACAAAAAAAAAAAACAAAAAAAAAAAAAAGGAAATTGAGAAAATGAAAATAGCAAAGGCAACTAGTTATGAATCTGTACTAATGGAACAGCTACACATAATTTGGGCGGTCCATAAGTTTGTTTTGTTTGTTTGCTTATAAAAGAACAAAGTTGACTGTACATTATAAAGAAATCATTTATGTCACCATAAAACATTTCAAGGATACACCGTAAGTTAATGACAAGATCCTTTGGTACCAAACTCCTCCCAGTTGATTGTAGCGCAAGACTAACATGCTTCTGGATGGCGCATAAAGCACAAAACCCAGCAATATGGCCTTGAAAAAAAAACCAATCAAATTAGCTATGCAAATAAGTTCAAAATTCTTCATACATGCACATGCATGCATACATGCTCACCCCACTTTCCAAGCGGTAAAAGCAGACTAGTAAACAGAAAATCACCCAAACATCATTTAGAATGACGTGATTTTATCCATAAATTATTCTCTAAACTCAACAAAAACCCATGTACTTCTATGCCTCAATGTATGTCAAACAAACTTCCACAGAAGTTGAATCTTGAAAGTGGGAACTTCTAATTGTATTTCTTAATCCCCTTTAATGTTTTTCAATATCTAAATGTTGCTCATCAACCCTGGTTGAGTCAAACAGCCCCAGATGGAGACTGTACTCGTGTTGCCAAAACATGTTGAAAAAATCTAGTGATGCTAGAGGAACTACCATCATGGGCACCTGCTGAAAATCTGGGGGGAAAAATGGATCTTGATATTATATGCCAACACTATGACATTTTTTGTTTATATTAACTTGTTGCATGCACATCCACACTAGGGGGCAAGGGAGGTTTGTGGGATGAGTCCTCACAAGAATTTCGATGCTTTCCACTTTGCAGGTATGCTGCTAAAGGCTCAGTATATGTCAGACACTGCAACACTGAATTGAGATAACAAGTATTCCCCATATTCATCAAACCGGCACCCTGAGAATTTTCCAAACCATTTTCACTGTCAAGCTACTGGGGAACGATAATCAGAGAACAAATATAGCAAGAGTATTACCAGAAAAGCATTACATAACAGAAGACTGACTAGGGAAAAATTTAAGGAAAAGCCAATTCAGCCAAATTAATTGGACACGTCAAGCCAAGCAACAAAACTCTGAAGCCACATAAAATTACAAATATGATTGATAAAAATCGAAAAGAAAAACAAGAGTATGTGCGTCCAATTGAACTCAAAAGCATATGACTCCATTTGAAACAAAATCAAATCCAAGAAACTTGAAATTAATAAAAACTATGATGCTAAAGACAAACACGCAGCGCACAACAGTGGTTAATGCATTTGAAAACTAAACACACCTACTAACTAATCCATGAAAAGCCTAAAACCAAACATGATCACAATAAATAAATAAAACAAAGTAAGGGACACGTTGAAAAAATGAAACACGGCGAAGATAAACTCGGAAAAACATAGAAGAAGCCAAATTGAAAATGAGAAATGTTGAATTAAACTAAGCAAAGAAAGAAAAAATCTTCTTGACCAGCCAAAAATAAAGAATACAAAACTTTTGGGTGGAGAGAGAAGAAAGCGATCAAAGGCAAAACATTAGCTTACAATTCTCCGAAAGGTGATGCCAAAGCTAAGCTCCGGATCCAACCCATTTTCCAAAAATTCGGACCCATCCGTTTTCTTCGCACTCAAACCCGACTGACCCTGATTAGAGGTCACAAGTTTACGGGAATCCGAGCTGCTGGTTCCGGGGTTCAGTGTCTCGAGCCGAAAGTCGCCGCCGCCATTGTTAAGGCCATTGAAGGGCTTCCTCGCTAGGTGGAACTCGATGCGCCTCTGAAGCACAGACGAGCCAGTTTCCGATTCGGGCATTAGATCCGAGTACCCATCCGATGGGCTTTGGAGCTCCGCTTTTTGTATCAAAGCGTCGGCCATTGTGGAAGCCTAAAAAGTTGGGATTTTGCGGAGAAAGCTAGGAGTTTTCTTCTATGTATTTTGTTTTCTCTCTTTCAAGAATTAGGGTTTTTATCCGTCAAATTTTTGTGGGTTTGGAGAGGCAGATAGCTTTTTGAGGCTTCTGCGAAAGAGAGAAGACATTGAGGCAATGGAGGCAGTATTAAACCCTACAGAGACCACCCCAAGATTTTTGGTCCAGTGTGGGCCTACACCGACCACGGTGGGGGAGATGCAGGCGATTATATCCACGAAATTACTAACGGAAGGATTTACATGATTTTATTCTTCTTTTTAGTATACGGAGATATAAAATCTACCGAATGTAAACTTGGATTCGATGATTTATTTGGTAATTTTTAATATTTTGTATAATTTAAACTGTACTTAAAATGTTAAATAACATATTATTTAAATATACTTTTAAAATAATTATGAGCTCACTATGAGAAAATATTGAAATATGTAAATTGCAAGTTACTACCATTTTTCACTAAATTAGACTTCGTTGGCATAAGCCGAGAATTCTTAATCTAAACACAATTTCTTTTCCGAAAAAACGCGTAGCCTTTATACAAGCATGCAGCATGTTGTCCAATAAAGCATGAGTAGATACGATACCGTGTGTTAGCATACCTCTCATCCATATTCCGATCCTTAACTAGTTGGCATATCTCTTGTCGTGTATCTCGTCTACTATCCATCATGAAGTCAGGCTAACGTAACTTATGGAGCATTTTAACGCGTCGCCTATCTCTCATCTCGTATTTTAAAGTCACGTCAGCCCAACTTATGGAGTCGTTCAATATTTGCTGTGCACAATCGTGGTGTTTTTTTCCCTTCTGCCTTGTTTTAAAGTTTTAATGATGGAAAAAATTCATTGTATAATATATGCAGGATCACTGGGTTCTGTAGGGCATGATTTTACCCTAAACAACACAAGCTACGCAATGCTCAAACTCACTTGTATTTTTATAAAATTCAAATGATGCATTAAGTGAAGAGAACATGCCTAAATGGTCCAGTTCTACTTTAGTCTCAAAGTGGGAACAACCAAAGAAAAATCTAATACAACGGCGAGAATGAATTAAATTGGATCTTCATCACTCACACAACACATCTTATACAAAATTTATATTGACGAAAAACCTCAATCTAGCTGCATCTTTCTTAACTTGCCAGCATGGCTGAAAAAATAAATTGAATACTCAGAAATTGGATGTAAAGTGAATACTTCTACTTATGGTACCAAAAAGATACATTATGCACTGGGTAAAAAAGAAGGTACCCAGTAGTAAACACCGGCAAAATTCAAGCTTCCTTCCTGGTTATCCTGTAATTCAACATGAAACTGAAAGTTAGGATCTCAAGTATAGTAAGAATTGGCACTCGCCAATGAAATGGAACAGAAGTATGTGAAGGGAAGAAAACTGTCGTCTGGGTAAAAGAATGAACACACATAAAACCACCTTCGTTTATATTTCAGACAGTTAATCTAAAAATTACTTGAACCTGGTAGGCCGTGAAAACAAAATGCCAAATTCTGCAAGATTGGTGGCTAATATGCTTTGAATGTAATACCACATGCTCACCTAAAGCAATAAATTCCTAAGGCTGTCGTAATTTCATGAACAACTGAAGTTGCAAAGTGAAGATAGAGTGTCGCTGTGTTCAGAGAAAGATAAACATCAGCCAAAAGACATGATAACATGAAATGAGATTATTAAGTACATATTCAATCCCTATCAAGACTGCATTTGCAACTGCCTACGTTGTTTTCCAAAAAACTAAAAAGTTTCTCAACAAAAGAAGAATAAATAGGAAACGGGAAGCAGCCGGAGGCCAAAAAAGGCACTTAAAATCTGTCTTGATAAAATGGTAATTGTGCCAATGTATTTCCAATACGCGCACCAAAGGAACAAATTACAGTACCTGTAAATGCACAGTAACCAAGAAGAACCAAGCTCTCGTCGACCAATGGAACTCTGCAACAAAAGGTGCACAGGAAGTTCAAGAGAAGAGAAACATCAGGATTATCAAGAACAGACGAATAATATTCAGAGCTCAAAAAGTAATATCAAATATAACATACCCATCATTCAATCTAGCCGTGAGTGCATTTGCAATGGCAAATGGGAGATACAACAGTGACTGTACATAATAATAAATATTGAAATTAGTAATCTAATCTGGCTTTAATAAATAAAAAATTCATACAAAAGTTATTGACAATAATTTAATATTCAATTCTCCCACATAATTAAAAATTTGTAAATGAAACCTTCTTTCCCAGGAGAAAAGTATCATGCTGCTACTAAAATGTTTTGAAAAAATAGACCCTCAACAGACTGTAAAACTCCAATAGCTTTGGGATTGTTACATACCATGCACATTCCAGTTTTCAAACCCTTTGGCTCATCACACAAGTGCGCAAGAATCATTCTTCCCTGCCAAAACAAAGCTTTCTTCAACAATGGTATAATGAAGAATTTGATTGTCTACCAGACCCTTAAAATGACATTGTTCAAAATCTAGGACACTCACAGAACCAATAGCAAGCAATTACATTCAAGAAAGACGACTGAGAAACTTTTAACAGATTTGGTTATAAAGAAACACGGATATCCTACCACAAGGTACCCAAAAGCAAGTCCAGTTCCCACTACGACTAAATGTGGATAGTTCCCCATAATGTCAGCTGGTGACAAGTAACCCCTGCATATAAATAATTTGATTTTTTTACTTTCATAAAGAAGTAAAAAGGTAAGTGTGGACACAAAGAATATAGACATACCATGCCAAAACTCCTCCCAAAAGAACAGCAAAAGGGTAAAGCTGGGATGGAACAATATGAAAGACCCATTAGGCTGATTAAGTATCGAGAATTAACATGCAAAACTCCAAAAGATAATAGTATTACCATTGCCAGTGCCAATAGCATGCTTCCTTTCCTTGCCTGAACAACCTTGTAAACATTGCACACACTGCACACAAAAATCCAAGAGATAATAGCATTACCATTCAACTGACTATTTACACATGAGATCCACCAAATCACGTGAATTGTTTGGGGAGGAGACCAACTATGTTGAGTTAATCACAAAATAAAGGGAGATGACTCAAATTCAAAATTCAGGGAACAAGGAATTACATACTTGAACGTGAGCGTTGGGATAACAGCAAAAGCTACCATTAGAAACAACACAGCTTTGTATGTTGTAATTTCTGAAGTCAAAAACAGAAAGGAATTAAATTCAGACGGATTGCAATGGAAGTAGGAATTTCTCATGAAGCAGCGGAAGGAAGAGTAGTGTTCCGAAATTGATTAAAACAAGGAAGTAAGAATGCATAAATGTTAAAGAGACTTTGAGCTATATATAAAGATGTATTGGAAATAAATATGCAAAATGTCTAGCAGGCTTATTCTATTAGCTTGCATATAAAGCGAACAAGAGGCAGCAGCAACCAACACTTACAACTCGATAGTAACTCATTGGGATAAATAAAACAATATAAAATATCAGTCAGGTAATGGAAGGTGTGCCAACTACCAAGTATTCTTAAAAGGGTATTTAAATCAAAGCACGCAATCAAGTCTCGCAAAATGTAGATTCTGTACATGGATTCAATGCCAAATAGAATTTGTAGGCTCAACTAAAATAGGCATAGCCTTACCATGAATTAATGGGACCCAACTAAGAAAAGGCAAAGACTTTCCAAATGGCTGAGCCCACCACTCAGAACCTGAAAAATTTATGCAATTTCAAATCAATTTAAATGTAATTAGAGAAAAGAAAAAGTAAAACCCAAGCAAAAGAAAAAAAAATTAGTGTATCAGTATAAAAATAAACTTTCAAGCTCTACATACAAAGAATAGCAGAAGGAGATTACAAGCTTACCAACAATAGCTGTGAAAAAATGGGCGAAATATATCAGCATTAGACCTTCTGTCGGCCCATTAACGGCAGGAAGGATCAGGGTATTGGTAAAGTAACTGGATCAATCAAGTAAAATATCAGTGCTGCTAACAAAACATTCAAGTTTCATATAAAGTATTCTATGCAGGGTCATAGAGTAGACAACCCTCTATGCAAGCATTGTGAATCAACACTCCCCAATTATAAAGTGGAAAATTTCAGAAACATTATAACTTCAGAGTCCAAAATATACAGCCTTGTACATATTATGGATTGTTCTTTTGGAGGGAAGGAGGGAGGGAGGGAGGGGGCAGTATAAAGGTCAGACATACATAATGACTAATAACAAATCAAACTAGGTTGGGCAACTCACGACTCCCATGTTGCACAATAAAAAGGAACAGCTGAAATCACCCAAAACCAGAAGGTAGTTCTTCCACACATCGCAGTACTCCCAAAAGCCAATCCTTCAAACTATATAAACACATACGGAACATGAAAAAATCATTTGAATTTCAGGGCTACGAAATCACCAGAAAAGATGAAGACACATACCGCACATGCAAGGGCATCACAACCTGCAATACATTGAGATTGCCCAGAATATAATCCATCAATAATCAACTCTTGTTTTACATATAGGGTAGAAGAAAAACACATGATAACATTGCATTACCATGGTCAAAAAGTTCCCCCAGTGGACTTGAGGAATTTGTCCGTCTTGCTTGCTTCCCATCAACAGCATCAAAGGTCTAAGATATTTGTGAAAAGGTCAAACAAGCAAGTGATTGAAAATGGGAAAATCCAATGAAAACAAAATAGGAATGCATAACAGTAAAGAGGGGCACCACGAAATAAAAATATATCAAAGGCAACACTGCTTAAATAGTATTTAAGCCAACCTGATATAAGAAAAGTAGCAATCCATGAGCGAAATTAACCCATCTAGGAGGAGCTGAATCTAATCTTGGTGAATATATCTGGGGAAAAAATCAGAAAGCAAATTCAATGGGAGCTTACTAAATAACAACGTTTCTACTTTACGCATTATACACAAAACAGCCAGTGGATATATTTTTACATACATAAAAAATTACAAATAAATGTGTAAGTTAAAGTAAAATATTAGCATTAAAAAAAAAAGGAAAACTAAAAAGATGATAAGAAAAATTCACTCACATATCCAAGCAGCGCAGATGTGAGCAAGAAAATGAATCCAGTTAGTGTTATCTGGCCACAAATAAAGCAAAACCATCAATTAATAGGCAACGGTATCAAAATGATTAAACATAGTTGGGAGTAAATGTCATTATACCATATTGGGCCTGAAAAAGAACGCAGAAACCCAAACATGCACATAGACCAAAGAAAAAGAAAAAGTTAGTAAACAGCAGGAAAAATAACCCTAAACCAGCACTGTTAAATCATAAGCAAGTTATAAAAGCGAGACATAAACAAATCTCAAGAAAAGTACTAAAACCATTCATTCTTGTAAATTCAAAATAACAAATAAGCGCATACTTAACCAATCTCCTTAGCTAATAGCTGCATTTGCGATAGACAGACAAGTTCTTGGCGTCTTGGCATTGTAACTTTACAATAAGTAGTTCTATCTAGAACTAGACATGCAATCTACAAATCCCACCCATTTGGATGTTTTCTTAACATAAATGTATCAGATGTAGGCTACCAAATAACCTAATTCAAGATTTTACCCAGCACAAACTAATCATACAGACCTTCAGCACAAAAAATTCAAAAACAGACATGCTCATGCACATGTACACTAATAAAACAATGATCTTACCAACCAATTAAACCCAAAGAGAACAGTACGTAATAAGATAATAAAGTTACTCTAGCTCTCATAATTAATAAAGATAAAAGAATAAGAAACTTACGGCATCCAAAGGGGAAATATTTTAACGAAACGACTCCAAAAGGGTTGCAATACATATTTCGCAGTGTACGAGTGATCCACACCACTATACTTGTATTTATGCAAAGCAGCCACACCATGTGCCCCAATGTACCCCATCTCTTCCAAATCAAGCTTTGGTTTTTTGTTTCGAAGAAGATCCAAATAAGCCTCAGTACAACCTGCTAACCAATTGAACTGAAATAACTCAATACAAGCACCTGAATAAAACCCATCATTGAACACATGCTTGCCAACTTGTCCATGATGATTGGAAGAACATGCGAATGAATCATTATAATACTGAAATATTGAATATTTGAACATAAGAAGACCAATGAAACTTATGATCACTTAAGCAATCAAGAGTAATATGGACAGTTAGCATAAATGTAAGGAGAGATTTGCCCTTTTATTATAAATAAGTTTCAAACTATCAGTTGTCCAAGGTTAGAAGTTCTTACATGTTCATCTAAGTTTCCAAAACAATTAGTTATAAGAAAAGGAAAAAAAAATAAAACCACATGTATCAATTGCAAGAAGAAAATGCAAGAAAAATAAAACTCCAATTTTAACAGTGAATGCTAAAAGAAACAAACCAAAATCAAACCCATTCCATCTCAGAACTCAAAACACCCATCCATATTTTTTATAATAAAAAAATTAAACAAAACCAAAAACCCCAAAATTGGAGAAATCATTGCCAAAAAGATAAAACAAAAAATTGCAGTAAGATTCAGATTCGTTAAAAAATACCCCAGAAATTGGAACCTGCAAAAAGAAAACCCATAAAAGAATTAAACCCAAAATGCAAGATAGAAAAGAAGCCAAAAAATATTTAAAAAAAAGTTTGAGCACACAGGAGCGACAAAGAGGTGGGTTGTGGGTTGACTTCCACTAGGAAAACTGAAGAGAAGAGCTTACGAAATGGAAAGAAGCCTTGATTTTCAAGCTTGAAGAAGACTAAGGATGAGATCTCGCAGAGGACCCAAGTAGTGTCTAGGGCTTAGTGGAAAACGGAAACACCCAACCACATTCCGGCTCCAATATTTGATCCTCCAAAAGATGAGAGAAAGCTAGCTTTGCTCTGTTGTTGGGTTCGTTCGTTCTTCCAACGCCAAAAGACACCAGAAAGACGAATAAAAATTGAAATTGGGGGAATCAAATAAAGTTCACAAGTTCGAGGAGATCACGTGGTGGTAAGTTAACGTGTGGGAGTGAAGTGAACAAAAGTTTCTTTTCTTAGTAGCTGCTACGCCAGGTGTCGTTTTGTAATTGTTCCCTACTACCAGCTGTTTCTGCCAAGTGGCAGTACACTATCACTCTATAATTCTCTGTCGACTTCCACTGGGGGGTTATGTTACATTTCCATCCAAATATTTAGGAATTGATTTCAGACGCCCAAATCTAACCAGTTTACTAAAAAGGTGTCAACTTCAACATAACTAAAGTTTAACCAAAATGCAAAAGCAAAACAAACAGGTGAACAGGAGAGTTAAGAAAGGTTTAACAAAGAAAAAACATCATCTATGTAAATTAGAGACTTGTTCAGGCAAACCCAACTTCAAGAAATCAAAAGATAACAGAAAAAATCATTCAGAAAATAAAAAGACAGGAGATTGAAAAAGACCCAGCAGAGAAAATCACCTCAGGTGCACAGAGAAAGAAAGAAAGGAAGGTTCTTGGCTTGTTGCCGGTGAAGAGAAACTATGGCCTTTGGACTTTGGAGAAGACAATGGAAGATATTAGAAATAGGAAGCAATATTTGGGTTTTGTGAATTAATGTGAAAAAAATGTGATTGGGAAGGTAGTCAGTCTCGGCGAAGTCTATATATTGGTTGCGTACTCCCCCTTTGAATTTTCGTTCTTTCTGAGAGAGTCACTTCAAATAATAATTATGCGTAAATTTGGGGTGTGTTTTATTTACGAATATAACTTGAAATCAAATAGAAGAAGTGGCCCACTTTACCAGTTATCATACACAAACGAAACGCGTAAAAAGCACAGATATTTTATTTTAAAGAGACAAATGGGTGTAATTTAAGTGGTTAAAAGCCTCTGTTGCACCCATACGGTACTACTTTCGGGGTATGCGCGTTCAGATACTGTATTGATACAATATTAATACGTATATAAGGGCTTCGATACTCCATTTATACACACCGTATACGTCAAAGGGTAAAAGTGAAAATATATTGAAATTTTGAGATGATTTTGACAGCAACCAAAAAAGAAGAAGAAGAAGGAGGAGGAGGAATGAAGAAGAAAATAACTTACTTACGCTTGCAGCTACTGCAAATCTTCAGTTGCAGGTACTGTGCGAAGAAGAGGCGGCTAAGTGAAGAAGATGATGTTAGGTGCCCTAATTACAATACTCACCGTTTTAGTTGCATGTTAGGTGGCTGATGTTAAACAAAGTGTTTTATACCATTTTATGTCTGATGAATTCATACCGCCTAGAAAAACACAAGGTACCATGAAAAGAAAACGCAAAATGCTAATTTTACATATGTAATATACGTTTATATATTTACAATTTATATATATATATATATTATTTTAATCACTGTATCGATGTTGCACTCGTATTCTAGTTTTGGAGATTTGCCGTATTAGCATATTATATCGTATCATATCAGCGTACTCGTACTCGTATCAATGCAACATAGTTACAAACATTTATCTTTGTACTCGAGGTGTTAGATTCAATCTTTCCCAAATATTGTTGATAAAAATATATATATACATATAAATTCGTAAAATAATAATTTATTAAAATATAGATAATTAAAAAGTAAAATAATAAATAAAAGTCCAAATTCAACAATAGTTCTAGGGTTAAATACTTTTGTTTGTCAATTTGGTCACTAAGAAAAAAGTTTAGTCAAATTGGTCACTATGTTTCCTAAAGTTTACAATATATAGACACTATGTTATCTTCCGTTAAGTGCAATTTTTATTGTATTTTTTTTTAGGAATCACCTTCAATCTTCTTCCTAAAGAAAATAAAAAACTAAACCAAATTAAAATGAAACCAACAACTTATCAATATATTTTGGTGCTTTATCACCTTGATTACGTCTCCTTATCAACTGAAATCGTAATACAGTTTTCACTTAATTGATTCATGCTTCAATATAGAACACCAAAATATAGAAATTTGATTGCACCAAAATATAATATAGGAACAAGATTGAACATGCTTCCTAAAAAACTAAAAATAAAAACTGCACTTAATGAAAGATAATGAAATGTGTATAAATTGTAAACTTTGGAAAATACAGTGACTAATTTTGCTAAATTTTTTTCTCAGTTACCAATTTGGCTATAAAAAATTTTCAGTAACCGAATTGATTTTTTGTGTAGTACTCAATGACCAAAAATGTATTTAATCCATAATTCTATATAAACAAAAATTAAAACAAAATTAAAACATATTAACACGCACGAGCTAGTAAAGAACAATAGAGGAAGCGAATAAATGAAAGGATAATAAGCCCATAACTTTAAATTATGCAACCATGTATTTGATAATAAACGTATGCTATGGGGATATATGCCCCTATTATTTTATGATACTCATAATCATATATATTTATAGGAGTTGATTTTCTTACTCTCCTTTTCTTCACTTAGAGCATTTCCAACATACTCTCTATCTTCTCATTCCTATATACTTTGGATAAAAATAAGGAAAATCCTCCTCTAGCAGACTCCATACTTAGCCCTCTATTTTGGAGAACCAACTTTTGGCTCTCTACATCTAGCAAGGAGGAGAGAGAATTTGGCTATAAGGAGAGAGAAAAAGGGGGAGAGAGAGATAGAGACATTTGAGAGATTGGTGGGGTTAGGTTTCTACTTTTTTAAAAAAAATATATTTGATTTGCAAGAGAAAGAGAAAATAATAATAAAATATTTCAGATTTGCCAAAATATAGAACATTGGTGGAGGAAACACCTTTTAAGTGGTTTGCTATAATAGCTTTTTAGCTATTTTAGCTTGCCTTTGGCTAAAATTTGGAGACTCTCCTGGAGATGCTCTTACACTCATTTTTGTTTTTAATATTTTTTAATCAATTTTTTTGTGTGTTCTTTCTCTTTCCTATTCTACCCTTACCCTACATTAAAGTTTTGATAATTGAAATTAAGAAAAGTTACATAAAATAACAACATAGGATTTTAGACGTGGTGGGCAGTTGTGATTTGAGTGAAAAGACAGAGTTTAGTAATCCTTTTAATTCTCAATATATTTTGCATGGTATGTTTAATTTCTTACTAAGATATTATGCTTAATAGGCGTTTTTCCATGCAATAGTGGAACTTTGGGTTGTCATATATGAATGGGAAATTTCCTAAGAGTTCATGATCATGTTTTATATTTTTTTGTTTGGATCAGTTTCTGTGTTGGGTAATGGCCAATGATGGAGCCGCCATGGGGTCCTGGAAGCCATGGAAATGGCTCTAGAGGTCATACAATTTTGACAACTCATGTTGTGATGGTTTAAGTGGAATGATACAGTTTGGTTAAATTAAATCCTCTTTTGTATCTGTTGGTGAAGTTGTGATTTTAATTTGAGCTTTGGTATTGAGTATATGAGGATTTTGTTCAGTTTAGTTACTTTTTCTTTGTTTTATGTTTATTATTGACCATGTATTTTATTGTCTTTTGCATTAAAATTTATTTCCTAAAAAAAAACTATGGTTGCAAGATTTATTCATGGGGCATAGTTTTTGCAGTAGGCGGATCATATGATTTTGCCTAGACAAATATACAATGTTAATTATTTATTACTCGCTTAAAGAAAAAATATTGAAAATTGAATGCAAGTTGGAAAATTAAATATAAAGAAAAATAAAGTAAAAATACAATAATGTAGAGTAAGGGTAGAATAGGAAAATTTTAAAAACCAAAAACAAAAAACAATTTAAAAAATTTAAAAAGCAAAAAGAAGTGTAAATAAAGAAAAAGAGAGCGGGAAATCAGCTCCCATATTTATTTATGCTATTTAAAACTTGATAACAAAACTTAGGGCTTCACTACCAATCCAATCCGCCAATCCGCCAATCCGCCATTTGGAGTCACAAAATAGAGTACTAAAATAATCAAATCACCCTCACCCCACAAAAGCAAAGAAAAAGATCTTCTTATTCTTCTTTACTTTTTTGGTTTGTCTCCTTAAATGGAATAATTTTGGGTAATCTGCTGATTTGCACTTTGAACCTGTAGGTAACTATCAATTTACCCCATGACATTTTCCTTTAGAAAATTAAGAACATGAACTTGTCTTTTTTGCCAATTTCCCAATTACCGTTTAAATTCTCAATGCTCCATCCAATTTTCCGTTGAATCATTAAAAAACAAAAAACAAAAACCCCCTAGCCTATCTTTGTTTTTTTCTCCCCCGACCTGACCAACAGCTTCCCCGCCCGCAACTCGCTCGCCCGACCTGACCATTTGAACTAAAGCTATAGCTAGCGTCTAAAAGTGACATGACCTGTGTCACCTAAAAAAGTAAGATGATGAAAGCGGCTGGAAGCGGAATATACAAAAGAAGACGAGAAAAGCAAATAATATCAGAAGTCTCTTTAAGTCTAAGTAAACCAATAACGTCCTCACAACTTCACAAGACAAGATAATAAGACCCAACTTAAAGTCGGATATTTTGTTTTCTTCCGTACAAGTCACCTCCAAGACAATATGGCTCCAGTGATTATCAATCATAAAATCACAAGCTCATTAACAATCCACTCAAATTTGTTTATGAGTAACAATATGGAGACGTAGAATAGAAGTTAGCTGCTGCATGGTCCACCATTTGGAGTTTATCCTCTGCCTTACCCAATATAACCCAAAAGAGAATATAAAAACTCTGTGGATTGCCCTTTGAAGGTTGGCTATGGCAAACATGAAACACACAAGCTGCTCATTACGCACCGCTACCCACCCAGTTGAATATATCTCACTACTTTAAAGTGTAAACAAACCAAAGTGTAATGATGTGCCGTCTACGACCCGCAATCTCTTGGTTGATGTCTGGTCTTATAAAACACTATTAAATTAGAGGCCGAGGGTCTCAACACAGGACTTCAGATGCATGATAATTGCTCTTAATTTCTTCCATTTAAGAGGAGGTTTAAAAATCCAATCATTCATAATAGAAAGAAAATAATAAAAAAGGGAAATAAATTTAATTTATTTATAAATATGATGGGAACGGACCAATAAATTATATGATTGGAAGAGCTCGGATAGGAAGGGAGCCACTCTCTCATCAAATAAAAGTCTCTATTTCTGTGTCATTTTCCTTTGAATGGACGAGGAATTTAACACAGCCCACAAGACACGGTTTCTTTTGGGTTGGAGCTGACTTAATGGAAAGCCTTAAACTATTAATTCAGCTAGGAAATTTCTTCAACCATAAATGTCCCCAACATTTGCCCCAAAAAAAAAGTCCCCAACATTGATGATGATTGGATTTCAAATAACCATCCAACGGTGGAGATCTAAGGATGGCCCAGAGCCAAAGTTGACCCCACCACAGAGTATTTAATTGACGAAAAGTTCAACTGTGTCCAGACCAAAGGCAAACCAAAGAAAGGCAGAGAGAGAGAGAGAGAGAGAGAGAGAGACATGGACAAAGCAAAGTAAGAAAGACAGGAGAGAGCCAGAAAAGAAAAGAGTCAATATTTGAAATCCAACCGCTCCAATTCATCAACACTTCCACCTAATTCTACAAATTCTATAACCCAACCCTCTGAACCTCGGTTCTTCAATACCCAGATCTCCATTTCTCAGAGTTTGATAAATTTCCCATCAGCTTGATCAAACTCCCCTGTTTTTCAGGGTGTTCTGTTTCCTCTCCTGCAACGAACGCATCCTATCTCAAACCCCTCAGATCAAATACCGGGTATTTATTGTTTGGCTTACTTTCTTTCTCTCTGAACACTGAAATCTGAACTCTGTTTCTTAATTATCATTGTTCCTTAATTTTGTTCATTTTATCAAAATTTCAAATTATCCAAACAATCCCATAATTTTCTTCGACACAAACTGATATCTTTCCTTGGCTTCCCAGCTCCAAACCCCATCTGGGATTCTGAAATTCAATCATGGGAATTCAGAAAGACAGGGTGAGGTTCAATGTTGGAGGCAGAATCTTTGAAACAACCGCCACAACTCTCGCCAATGCCGGCCGTAATTCCATGTTTGGAGCGATGTTTGACGAGGACTGGAATCTACAATCCGATAATTCCAATGAATACTTCATTGATCGCAACCCGGATTGCTTTGCGGTCCTCCTTGATCTTCTAAGAACCCAAGAGCTTCATATCCCAGCCAATATGTCTGAAAAGCTTCTTTATAGAGAGGCCTTGTATTATGGCCTTCTCGACCACGTTCGATCAGCCAAATGGGGTCCCTTTGATGGCAACAGGTTGTGGCTTTCGGGGACAGTAGCGGGCCAAGCTCCGGGTGATGGCACAGCAATTCGTGCTGGCCCGGATGGTGGTTGCTGCGTTGCTCATGGTTGCATGGTCCATGTCTACGACTGGATGCTAGATGAGCACCCTCCAATCAATCTTGATTATCAGAGAGTCAATGATGTTGGTTGGGTTGATTCGGAGAACATAGTGATCAGCGTTTGCGAGCGGTTAGGCCGAGGAGACGGAGGAATGGGGCTGTTCAGCTCATCAAATGGGGAGCTCAGGTACAAATTTCAAGTTAATCATGAGAATCAAGTTAAGAGCTTTACTGCTGGAGCTTTGTGTTTTGGGTCAGATTACAAGATATTCTCTAGTTGCAAAGGTAGGAGCAATGAGTATGGCGTTGGTGTTTGGGACCAAATAACAGGAAAGCAGACTGATTTTTTCTATGAACCACCTGGTTGGTCACTTGGTGATGCTGACAAGCTGCAATGGTTGCAGGGGAGCAACTGTCTGTTAGTTGCAACCTTGTTCCCTAGGAAAGACAACTGTTACATCAGTTTGTTGGACTTGAGGGAGAAGAAAATGGTCTGGTCTTGGTCTGATATTGGAGCTCCTATAACTGTGGATGAGAAGAGGGTCAGAGATGCAATAGCAATGGAGGAGAGTAACTCCATTTGTGTGGTAAATGAGTATGAGGATTTGGGTTTTATTGATCTCAGGAGCTCTGGTGGAAGTGTTAGATGGAGCTCAAGGAGCAGGCTGATGAAGGGAAAAATGCCTGATGAGCCTTGCTACCCCAAACTGGCATTGCATGAGGGGCAACTCTTTTCATCCATGAATGATTCCATTTCAGTGTTCTGTGGTCCTGATTGGGTTTTAACATCCAGGCTTCGACGAAGTTATGGAGGTTCAATCTGCGATTTTTCGATAGGTGGGGATCGGCTTTTTGCCCTTCATAGCGAGGAAAATGTGTTTGATATATGGGAGACTCCACCTCCTCCAATTATATGATTCTTCTTCAGATTATGGTTGGGTTATTTTTTAAAATTGTGTTTTCTTTCATTTCTGACATACATGATACATGCTTTTCCTGTCTTTTTTATATCCTAGGAGATGGAGTTGCAGCAATACTATCTAGGTTTAGGAAATTTAGAGATACTTCAGACAGAGTTCTAAAGATTGTACTGTACAGAGTTGGCTCACTACAGAGATGAATGAAACCGTTTGCTTTGCCTTACTATAAAGCCTGGAGAGATATAAATGAAATCGATTGCTATAACTAGAAATTTGGTACCTTTGCACATCCGTTAATCATGGGAACTGGTCCTGTGGTTCAAATTATGTTTATCTTTTATGTTTGAACAGTCAACAAGGAATGGCTCTTTTGATTTTCACTTTTGCGCAGAGACCCTCTTGTTTTTTTTTCTTTTCTGCTTTGCCAAAGTTGATCTCCTGCACAAATTTCCATGCATCTGAAGACCCTTGGCAAAGATTCCAGATTTTGAGAGAGATGCTCTTTGGCATGTGAGCAGTTCCAACTGCCAACTCTTTGAAAGATTTATGAATTGCGTAACTTTGCACAAAGTGGTTAGGTTGGTGCAGCCTTTGTTTTCATTTTGCGTTTCTAAATGATCAGCACTTTGAATCTGTGACAACCACAATAGCAAACAACCGTGGCCCCCTTCACCTTGCCTTTTAGCCTTTGCATTTTATGAAACCTTGACCAGTTCGTATGCTTATCACACACGACGTCTTCTGTTTCTGCTCAACCTTCAAGTATTAATCTAATTAAACAGCTCTGGAGTTTGGTTCTAAATGCCCGAACATGAAGTAGGAAGAAATCCCACTTTACTAGGACCCTACGTAGGAATATAGAATACTTAATTCAATTTGACTTTCTTGTTGTGTGTGCCTCGTTGCTGTATTTTAATGTCTTTGAACTAATTCATTAAGACATAAGGTAACTGACACGACTTCAATTCAGTTTCAGATAAGTTTAAGTTTAATTTTTACAAATTGTTTAACCTCACCTCTGAGGAGAAATCATTGTCAGCCAATTTTAACAATGATCTACACTAATTCCAACCAACGTTACCCTTATCGCCATCTAGTTTAATTCATGGGTTCAGTGGGTTCTGACTCATCTCGTCAATTTCAGTGCAACGACACGTTATAGTAAAAGAACTTGTATACATATAATATTGTTTTGCTATTCATAACTAATTATATGGAAAAGTTATTAAGTGTGTAATGAAACGTCATTAGTTGAGAATAGATAAGTTTTTCTCCAGTGGAGTGAAGAATCATCACCAAGGAAGTTTCGGTCATCCAAGAACAATTCAAAGTCCAGAGGATTACTAGTGCATGATTATCAACCATCTTTTACTGTGAACTTCTAGGAAATTTCCCTCAATTATTCCCTCTATTTATAGTCAAAAACTCCGAAAAATGGTTGTGTAAACACAAGCAATAACAACATCAACATGTAAAAGAAAATGGGATAGCATACCTATCTTGACCCAAAAAGAAGTGTGTAAAAGACAAGGACCTAAATGGCTGTGACCCCACCACAAGGCACACAAGTTGATCAAGCATAATCAGGCATCACTTTTTTAAGGAACTTGATTGGATGAGACTCTCCCGGGGCAAGTTGGTCAAAGGCAACGTAATTCTGCTCCTTGTCGTAAACGTGGCACACTGTCAGTATCGTCTTCATCAAACGCCAATTCCATGTAGCCTCGTTCAGATACTGTTCATGACATGGAAAAAAAAACCCAATGAAATAACTCCTTTTTCTTTCTTATGTCTTTTTTGAACATTTTGATTTTACATCTGCAGCTCAAGACTAATCACAATATTGTAGAAGATATCTACCTTTCCCCAGTTTTCTTGAAGCGACTTGTGAGCTGCTCGTAGGTTATAACTTGGAATCCTGGGAGATATATGGTGGGGTATATGGACATTGATATCATGGCAGAGGGTCTCAATCCTGTTGAGAAAATAATGCGTCCAGTGTATAAAAACACACACCCCAAAGAAGAAGAAGAGTGCTAGGTTCTTGTGAAGCAGTTATGGCAATATGAATGATTTTAAGCTAGTAACAATTCTAAATCATTACTTGTCAATAACATTAAAATATTACATCTATGTGAATTTAATAGCAGCACAGTGGTCAGATTTCAATAACTGCATTCATCAGAAAAAAAATATAGAAGATAGCAAAAGCACAAAGATACAGTACCATTGAGGGTAATCACAATGAACTGTTCCATTAAGTTGAGCCTGAGCAGCATTCCACTCATCCGCAGATTTGAATGGTATATGAGGTGCTGTATGGTGTACCATCGTGAATGTACTCATCTACAGATTCATGTAAAATTGAAAAACAGAATTGACAGTAAGCTCTACAACTATAGAATTCCCAAAGGCAAGTCGGCTATGTTCACCAATACATGTTAAGTACTGCAGTCAAAATAAAGCATAAGAGACCAGGGAGTAGTATTACCCAAAAGTGATAGCCCAAAAATGGCATCAACCAAAACTTTACCCATCCCAAGATCCCTGTCTTGAACACAATCAATGGCCATCCAATCCCCATAAACGCAAAAACACAAGCCAAACTTATCTTCACCCTTTTCACTTCACTTGGTCTGAACATCTTCAAATCGAAGTGGACTAGCAACCTATTTGGATACCAAGTAATACTTATTTATGTCTATTGGATATTCACACATTAAGAATCATGACTAAAAATAACCATTGTTGATATAATGGCCACAAAACAAAACAGACACAGTGATTCTTCTTTTATAGTTACCTACCAATGAGCTATTGACATCCAGGGCCGAAATGGGCCATATCCATATATGATTGCCCGGCGAAAAAGAGGAGATGAATCAAACTCTTCTTTAGCAATAGGCTGCCAAGCTGTATCCTCAATCAACCTATATAGATGATGAGGTAAAAAGGAAAAGCCAAGAAGTTATGAGTTAGAAATAAACTTAAACCAAGGAAGTAGTATGCCTATAATTCAAAAATCAACAAAAAAAATTTCTAAGACTACATTCAGTAATATTATTGGCTTTCATTCACAAGCCAAACATTATTTTCACTAAAAAGTCTAACATGATCGTTCATTCTAATGCTCTTTAATTTTAGAATGATTGTTTCTGTATTTTTTACAGCCCTTGTTATCACGCTGCACCATTGGGAAGAGTATGAATTGAATATAGAATATACTCTTTTTCAAGACATGTGATGTGCTAAAATGAAGCCATTAATAAACACATAAATTAATTAACATAAAATAAATAAATATATGCTTCGGGGAAGCCATACAGACATGTTTGTTTTTGCATGATGTCGATCATGCTTAAACCGCCATGGTTCGTATGGGTATATTAACGGCAAAAAGGCCAGTGTTCCAACAATGTCTTCTACTAATTTGTTTCTTGAGAATGATTTGTGCGCGCAATCATGACCTATAACAAAAAACTTCACAATTGGGAAGGAAAAAAAAGGAATGAGTTGGCTTATATATACCACAATAAATGAAAAAAGGAGAGCGAAGTAAGTTACTAGAACCAATATAAGATGAAGAGATGGGTTTTGAACAAACCCCAGTAACTGCAGTCCCTGTCCATGCCCAAGCCAGAGGAAGTAGATACCATGGGGCTTTTGAAATCATATAGAGCCCGAATGCATAGGAAGTGGCAGATATTAGAACTGACTTCCATGCTTTCATATCATCAATCTCAAACACCTTATAATAGAAAAACAAAAAGAAAGTAGTTACATTTGAGATTGTTTACGTTTCTCAACTGTATTGTAAGCCAGAATTATTAGTTACATTGCGCTTATATTTTATCTTCCCCAGGTACTATTCAAAAAGGAATTTTTATTTCTATGTTTAGGAGAGGTAAAGAATGAAGCTTCCAATGATACCAGCCAGGAAAAATAGAAAGATTTGCAACAATGCAATATGAAGCTTCTCAGATGAAATTCAATAAATTTACTCAATTGAACAAACTATTAACTCAAACTCAGATCCCCAGCTGAATTGTCAACAATAAAAAAACAGATGCATCAGATACGAATTCAAACAATAAGAATAAGTAGCATTGACGGTATGGCTCTGAGAATGAAAAACAATACCTTTTTCGGAAGGGTATCAATGACATGCTTCAGCGTAACATTATCTGGGAGTGGTTCTCCAATTTGTTTGAAACCATAACTTTCAGATAATTGTTTTCTATACTCAGCATTGTCTGGTGAAGATGGTGCAACTGGAATGGCAACCGCTTTTGCAACCGTCGTCCAATTTCTACGAGTTAAAAACCGCTGACGTTTGATGCCCTTTTGGGGAAGGCTGTCCCATTTCAAATAGCAGATTCCTGAACCTCACAATAAGCATTGTAAGTTGCCATTCACATTGATAATATTAATATGTCACAAATAATGATGACAGTCTAAAAAATACACCTGAAGAATAATGGGTTCCAATTCTTTGGCTTCGAATTGGATTTTGATGGGGGCCCTGCAACTCAGACCAAGAAGAGAGAGTAAGAATTTAAGAACACAACCCACCATTCAAATCTAAAAAGGAAGAGCAAAATGAGAAAAAATATGCAATTGGGTACAATATAGAAGAGCAAATGGCATAGCTTACCATGGAGAGGAACATAGAATCTGCAAGTCTGCAAGCCATTTTGAGCAGAAATTGCAGAAATCCCAGTTCGCAGGGACCCCCACTTCAGAACCTCTTTAAAGCTTTGAACTTTGAGATTGTTGAATGAATTGTCAAAAAGATAGGCTTTTTGGGGTGAAGAGTCTTAAAAAGGCAGTGCCAACTACTCGTGCCGCTCGCTTGCCTTGTGTTGGAATTTTTTTGACTTTGTCACCGACCGCCTCACTCGTGTGGATAGATTCTCAACTCACCATAGCCGCTTGTTGTTTTCACTCGTCTTCTCGTCAAGTTGTAAGCACAAAACAAAACTATGAAGAAAAAAGTTCACATAAATAAATGAGAGGTATATTTTCCCATACAGAAACAGAGATATTTAAATCCATTGATTTGAGTTTTTTTTTGGGACGAGATATGAGTTTACCCTAACACTTCAAAACAAAATTATTTTAAATTACATTCGATTTTGGAGTTGAGTTTTCTTAGGAATAATGATAATTTAAGTGAAAACGTAGAGGCTCTATTTGGTGGGCTGGACTGGATGCGACTTTTTCAATTAAAATGGACATGGATCCGGTCTATTGTTTAGTGGACTTAATTGTATCACACATTAGTTAGGCCTTAAATTTCTGTTTAGGATATAAATCCAGCATGCGCTGGATGATTGCTTGGTATTAGTAGACTGTAGAGCTCGTCTTGTGGGTATTGGGGCTGCTTAGTTTGTCTGTTGTTGGGGTTTACCCCCTTTTCCTCGCACAAAAAAAAATTTGATATGATAAAGAGAAATTTTGATTAGAAAAAAAATATATATAACGAAAAAAGAGGAAGAAAGATATTGAATAAAAAAATAAGGCACTGAGGCAAAAAGTTGGTATTTTGCATATGATTATTGTTAGTAAAAAAATAAAATAAAATATTGATTTCTTAAAACAATGTTAATTTTAGTCTATTGTTTGGTGCATAAATGAATAGGATTGGACTCCAATTCAGCCAGCCCCAATCCAATATTTCAAAATCCACCGAACGAGGCCAGAGTCTATACAAAAAGCAGAGTAACCTCGGACTAATGTTGAGTTGAATGCATGAATTGGCCATAAAATTTGTCAAACCCTACACACAATTTTGTGGATATGAATGAATAACTGTTGTTATAGTGAGACCAAACCACTTTCATAATTTGATTGGATCTATCCACACTTTGCACGAATCCAACTTACTTCTATAGGTCCCTATGGCCTAGGAGAAAACATGGTAAACGACTTTCATATGTCCTAGGACTCGGAGCATTGCCTTTGCGAGGATATTAATTACCTTTTCCTTGTAATGATACGATTTCAGAATAATCATTCTTAGACTTGTTGATAATGGACTTACATGTTGGGCCTTCTTATTTATGTACATCAGACCTTGGGCTTAGTTGACAATGTATGTCATGAAAAGAAGCCTTTAACGGATTCAAAAGCCCAAACTTCTACCCATAGGGCCCGGCGAGTGGTTTCTTTTCTTGTAGTCATATAGTATTTTGGACGGTAACATGGGACATAATTAAGGGTCTGTTTGTGAGTGTTTTTGAAAGGGCCAAAAGCGCTTTCTGATACTAAAAGCGCTTCTGATAGCGTTTGGCAGAAAAATTGAGAAGCGATTCAGGGTCATAGAAGCGCTTCCTGGAGAAGCACCTGCTCTGTGCTTTTTCAGGAAACACTCCCAAGTGCTTTTCCACGAAGCACTTCAATTTTTTAAGAAAATTCAAGATTTTTATAATAAAAGCGTTTTTGTTATAAGCGCTTATGAGCAAAAGTACGTCCTAGAGTAGCAGTCCCAAACGAGTTATGATGTTTTTGTTAGCGAGTCTTTACTTAATTAGGATTTTGGTTTCTTATCAGTTTATTTAGTCATATTGTAATTGGGATTTATTTTCTATTATAATTTAGTTTTATTTCATATTTTATTTAGAGTTGTACTTCCTTATAAATACCTCCATATTAGGAAAAATAAAAGCATACATGAAAATTTGCCATATTTATTTGACTCTTTCAAATTAATACAAGAACAAACAACAAAATCAGATGACATATTACATATTGCCAAGAAAGTAACAAATCGATTATATCTTTCTCTTTGCATGATTGATCAATGGTCAAGAAACCTTTTCAAATTTTCAATTCTCTTTTCAATTCTTTTTGTTTGGACTGAAGCCTTTCAACCCTTTCAAAGAAGAAGTTATGAGCTCACACACGGCCACACTTACAAACTTAATCCCATCCAGCCGGCTGAGGACACCATCTTCCAAGAAACAAAATGATATTCTCAAAGGTTCTTATTCTCAGACTGAGTCAAAGTACTTGTCTACACCTCAAAGGATTATCCATCTTTTAGGCCATAACATTGAGATGCTCTGCTGATATATAATCAATATACTTCAAATATCAATTCAAGGGGTCATATTTATCACATTAATTCCTAGAGGATTCTAAATATAATTTTCCCTCAAGTTTTTGTGGTACAAAAAAAGTTCAGCCCAGAAACCTCAAAGCAGTGCTCACATCACAACACAATGGCCACTCCCCTTATTTTCCTGTTCTTATTCACACTTCTTTGCAAGCCCCACATGATTAGTTCAAGTAAGCATATGCAAAACCAATACCAATAACAACATAGATACATGGGATATATACAATTTCTTAACATCACTTAGTTTTTTTGTCCTTTTTTTCTCATTTTCCACCAGGTACTTGCACATTGGATTTTACCAGATTCCCTTATGAAGCCCAAAGCCAGTGCTTTGACCTAGCAGAAGGTTCTTTCACACCTTTAGTAATGCAGTCATGTTGCAGCTCTGCCCTTCAATCTCTATACCAAGCAATGACTATAAAAGCTAGTCAATCTAGATCCATATTCCTTGAGTTTGCTGAAGCTCAGAATTGCACCAACATATTCCGAAACCTTCACCATAGAGCCAATCTTAACAACTGTGATCTCCAAGATTTTATCTCTTCTTCAACACCAAACCTGTGCTCAAACAATGCTGATTCAGTCATTGGTCTTCTTGGGGTTGACATGTACAACGCTTTACGGTCCAATTGTAAAGGCTTATCCAGCAGTAATCATAGTGACGAAGCGTGTTTCGATTGTGTTGTTTCTTATAGGCAATCATTGCAAGCTCTAAAAGAAAGAAATAGATCAGGTAACAGGTGCGCTGAAGCTCTACTTGTTAGTCTTGCTAGCTCAGATGCTCAATCCCCAAACTTGGTTCGCGGAACTTTTTCTTGTTTGTGGAATGAAATAAGTAAGATATGATCCATATCCTGGTATGTGAAGGATTAATTATGTTGTTTCACAGATTGTTAATTTTATTCCTGTGTTTCTGCAGAGTCTCCATGGCCTATAGGCCCTACACAGAATCAAAACAAAGGTAGCATAAAAGAGGTTACCTTCAATGTTGTTCTTTTTGTTTCTATAGTTGCATGTCATCCCATTTAGTTCTAACACAACAAATAACAAATGTATAAAAGCTCATATCTTGGGTTCCAAGAAGCTTCTTGCCATAGTAATCCTGGCGGCAGCACTGGTGATTATAACTCCGATTCTTTATAAGATAACCAGGAAGCAACTGCAATATGCAAGCAAAAAAGATATCGAAATCCTATCCGGTGAGCATTCTTTTAATTAGCCTCTTCCAAAGATCGAAAATTAAGAAGAAAGACTCATATATATTTGTTGTTGCGGTTTTAGTCTCCAAGAAGACAGTAGAGGAAGAATCCAGGAGTTTCTTTAACTGCTCTGGTCTTTACCTATTCTCACAAGATGAAGTGTTGAAAGCTACCAACCATTTTGATGATTCAAACTTGATTGGAGATGCAACACTTGGTATGAATTATGAACCATATGATGCTGACTGATCAATATATATGATTTAATTCAGAACACTCAAAATTGGGTTACAGCTGAAACTCACAGATTCTTTCAGGGAAATTCTATGTTGGGATAATGCCTAGTGGAATGCCAACAACAATTAAGAGACTTAATCAGGGGATCATTAAAGTTCAAAATTTCGGGGAAGAGGTAATAAGGAAAGCCAAGATAAGGCATCCTAACGTGGTGACCACTTTGGGATATTGTGATACAGGAGAGCACTGTCTTGTTTATGAGTATTGCGTAAACGGTAACCTAGCAGGCTGGCTTCTTGGTAAAGTTTAACCTACAATCAAATGATTGCCTCTTGTCTTGATAATTTGATGATTCTACTCTTGTGCCATTTATGTGCATTTATGCAATCACATTATCTAGCAGGTAATGGGAGGACACTAATCTTGACATGGGAACATCGAATGCAGATATCGATCGGCATTGCTCGGGGTTTATGTTTTCTCCATGCCAATGCCTTGGTTAAAATGGTTCATGGAGATTTAAAGGTAATTTAATTTGATTTAGTACTTAATCTGTGGTGCAAGCCTAATGAAACAAAAGGGCTCAGACGTCGTTATTCAAATGATATGGTCTCTAGTCTTTTGAGTTTGAGAGGTTATTACTAACCAATGACCATGCATTTGCATTGCTTGGCTGATGGCTCAGTTATCAAACATATTTCTGAATGAGAAACTTGAAGCCAAGATATTAGACTCCAACTTATCAAACTGCAAGCCTAATGAAACGAAAGGGCTACAAACCATAAAAAACGACGTCTTCGATTTCGGGGTTGTTCTGCTTCAAGTTTTGACAGGAAAGAAATCAAAATCTGTGGTTGAGGAGGTTTGCTCTAAATCCCAAATATAGTCTATCAGTGATGAAATAATGTAGCTAGCCTAATTGGTGTGTTGCAATTCGTACAGGCAAGGGATGCAATACTAAAAGGAGCAAGTATAAGTGGCATGGCGGATCCACGTTTAAATGGGGCTTATGTTTCCTCTGAATTTCGAAATGTATTGTCCATAGCTGTTAGATGTACAGCTCCAAGTGAACGGGAAAGGCCATACATGGAAGAAATTGTACGAAAACTTGAAGAAACACAAAGTTTAGTCTGAGACAAAACGAGATTGAACCAAAAATAAATAAATTGTTGTAACCACTAGAAAATTGTGCATAAGTGGAATTGCATTTTTCTTGTTATATATTCAAAATGTTGACATGGAACTTCTTATTTATCTATTCAAAATGTGCATAAGTTCTGGGCTTAGATCTTAGGCGGCGAACCGGGTGAAAGAATCACTAAGTAATTCTTCCACTTCCTTAGGAAACATGACTTGATTCCATTAACAATTAGGAAATCTTAGGCGGTGATATTAGGGTGTTTAAATCTTAGGCGGCGATATTGGAGGAAGGGGTTTTGAACACACAAACTCAGATGCAGTGGTTACCATGCTTAACCACTTAGGCCGCGTTTGGTTCATCCATGCATGAGAAATAATTTTCTGCCTCATGCGAAATAAAATGAAACCCTCCTCATGAGAGGCCCTTAGCACCAATCCAATCACTTCAAATTCAAAATCCCATCAATGGGTTTTCGATTAACATCAAAATCACGAAAACCGGTTCCCAAAGACTTCGAATTTCCTCAGAAACTCTCAATTCCAATTGAAACAGAAGAAAAGCTGGCTGCACTTTAAAATCGTCCTTATTTAAGGCGTACAGCCGACCGGCTATACCGTTAAAATATTCAAATATATTGCAAGGGTATAGCCGCCCGGCTATACTGTTTGAATATAAGATTTTAAGAGTACAGCCGTTCGGCGATACTGTTAAAATATTCGAATACATTCAAAGAGTATAGCCGTGCGGCTATACGCTTTAAATATAATAATATTCTTGTAGACCCTTCAATTTGATTAAGGGTTTTGTTCTCTCTTGCGCATGAGAGAGATGAGGAATTGATTTCCTAAACCCAACACATCAACTGCACTTTCATATAAGACCAACTCAAATTATTGAATCATTCATTTAACATTATATTTCTTATGGTAATTCATTTGACATTATTGAAATCACTCCAACTAAGCATTCAGTAGATTATCATTTTGGATCTAATTGAGAAGGTTAAGGCCAAATCTCAAATTGAGTCTGCGATCATCACTTGGATCTAGCAACAAAACTGATTTGTTCAGTCCAGCTTCCAAAATGCTAATATGAAGTCCACATGCCTTGGGCTAGGGCTCAGCTCCGTACTTAGGCCCATCTTTAGAATTATTATTATTTTTTGTCAACACAAAAATTATTGTATAAAAGGTTTAAAATGTCAAAAAAAGACAAAAATAAGGGAAGGAAAAATAGAAGGAGCCACGTCGATGGATAATATGACATACACGTCGAGCAGTGATGATGTCCACGTCATCTGGATATGTCAGTGCCAAGTCGGTTGGTGAAATCACACAGCTGCAGAGGAAAATGGTACCAAACAGAACCCCCCCAAAAATATGTGTAACAAACCAAATTATCTATCACACTCTTCGTCGTCGTCTTCTTCGTCGACAATCTAATCCACAGACAGAAATTCTAACCCAGCCAAAACAGCAAAAAAATCCGAAATTCTTTTTCTCAGAAGCCAACTAAATACTGTACCGAATTCCTTTTCCTCTACCAAATTCCTCATTTCGACTCTAAAACATTACATTTTTATATATGCATATGTGTATACGTATATATCCAAATATATACGTGATTGATCGGCAATTGTAGGCAGGGTGATTTTGATTTTGATAGGAGGGAGAGTTTGGGAATAATTGGACAGCAGAGATGGCGTTGCTGCGCAAATTGTTCTATCGGAAGCCGCCTGATGGGCTTTTCGAGATCTCTGAGCGAGTTTACGGTGCGTTTCGAATTCGATATTTCTTTTTTCTTTGTTCTTCTTTCTTCTGTGATGGCTGTCGAACATTTACACACACACATGAATCATGATATATATATATATAGTCCGGTTTGGCAGTGGCTACATTGTGTGCTTAATTGAATGGTACCAATCCGAATTTAACTATGTTTACAGTCAATTAAGCAATGTTTTCTGTTAATTTAAATAATGAACACTTGCGGATTTTTATGTCTACTCAACAAAAATAAAATAATAAAAAAGAAGCAGCAGCAGCAGCAGCTCGTCTATAAAATTTTTGAAATACATGTACTGTATTGCATTTGATGAAAGAGGGATGATTAAGGAACAGTCTTGAATGTAGATGGGTGTGTTCAGATTGCTTTAACACTTGCTAATTGCATAAGACTCTCACAGTGATGATGCCATCTTATGTGAAGGGGTTATGGCCTAGGCATGTAGTATGACCTGACCGTAAGCGGCTGTTTCTTTGTCTACATATAGTTTTTGATTGCTGCTTTACTACCGATGCTTGGAAGGAAGAAAACTATAAAGTTTACATAGGTGGGATAGTTGGTCAACTCCAAGATCACCTACCTGATGCTTCATTCTTGGTGTTCAATTTTCATGATGGAGTGGCACAAAGCCAGATGGCCAGCATCTTGTCTGAGTACGATATGACGATAATGGATTACCCACGACACTTTGAAGGTTGTCCGGTGCTCACACTTGAGTTGATCCATCACTTTCTTAGATCAAGTGAAAGTTGGCTAGCACTTGGGCAGCATAATGTGCTGTTGATGCACTGTGAACGTGGAGGTTGGCCTGTTTTAGCTTTCATGCTAGCTGCGCTCTTGATTTACCGGAAACAGTATAGTGGAGAGCAGAGGACGTTGGACATGGTTTATAGGCAGGCTCCCCATGAGCTTTTGCATTTTTTATCACCGCTAAATCCAATCCCTTCTCAACTGAGGTATCTACAATACGTTTCGAGGAGGAATGTAGCCTTGGAATGGCCTCCTCTGGATCGAGCGCTTACCTTGGACTGCGTCATCTTTAGATTTATTCCTAATTTTGATGGGGAGGGTGGTTGCCGTCCTCTATTTCGCATTTATGGACAGGACCCTTTTGTTGTTACTGATCGAACTCCCAGAGTCTTATACTCAACTCCAAAAAGAAGCCATACCATCCGGGCTTACAAGCAGGTGATGTTATCTCTCTTTATTTACTGAGACATAATCATATACTCATTTAAATGGTTGCTGACCTAAATGGATGTTGACTATACGTTCATATGTGATTAGGTTCATCATTCCCTTATAATCAGTCAAATGTGATGAGGTTCATTTGTCTTGTCCATACTTTGCTTTTCATTAATGTGAAAATGTCTACCTTGAGATGACTTACCTAGCTTTAACATGTTTGTTCTCAATTGTTTTGAAATGGTGTAATTTGGGATCTGACTTAGGTCAAACCTGTGCTGATTTTGAGGGAAGATACCTTGCATTGAAGGGGCAAGGCTTAGAGCCTTATATTGCCTACTTATCTGAACTGATGCCGAATTGTATTTCAACTAGGAGATGTCTTACCTGTCTGGTTTGCAGCCCTAGGCCAATGGAACCATTAATCCAACGACTCATAAGACAAAAAAAAAACTATAAAAGAAAAAAGCCACCAGTTCTTCCTGAAGCAAACTTTTGTACTATCCAAACTATGACATTGGTTACATTTGGTTCCTGACGTACTTTTTTTTTAGATTTAACAATTAGTGGATAATGTTTAAGTTTTAACTTGTCTTGATCTTGACTGGGATCCTAATAGGTCTAATATTGGTCAACTAAAACTTAATTTGATGTAATTAACTCACAAGATTAGATCAAAGAGGTATTTGTTGTGCAAGTTGGGTGACGGACCAGGTTTGGTTTCATGGAGATTTGATTGGTAGTGAGTTTGAGAAGCAAAAACTTAGTCTTATCTTCTTAGCTTTGATCTGTGCGGAACTTCACTTTCCTGATATGTTTTTTCCCAATTATATTTCATATATAATGCAACTAAGATGTGGTCTAATCCTTAAATGTTCAAAACCAATGCAGGCAGAATGTGAACTGGTTAAAATTGACATTAATTGCCATATTCAAGGTGATGTTGTGGTAGAGTGCATTAGCTTACATGATGACACGGAACGTGAAGAGATGATGTTCCGCATCATGTTTAATACAGCTTTTATTAGGTCTAATATTTTGATGCTCAACCGTGATGAAATTGACATGTTGTGGGATGCTAAGGAACAATTTCCAAAGAACTTCAGAGTAGAGGTGTGTCTCTGCTTCTTCTGATTGCCTTTGATTCTTTTGTTGTTTTTTTCCTGACAAATTGTTTGGCTACCATATGGTTTAAGATCCTTTTTTCAGAGATGGATGCTGCCAAGACTGCATCCATTATTCTGGGTGGTATTTCATGCTTTGAGGATAAAGAGGGCCTTCCAATGGAAGCGTTTGCTCAAGTACAGGAGATCTTTAACTATGTGGATTGGTTAGATCCCAAGGTCGATGCCACACTAAATGCGCTACACCAAATGGGTGCATCAAACATCGCCCATGAAAAGTTGGACAATGATTCTTCCCAAAGTACTGGAAATGACACTTCCTTGCAGGAATCAAGTCCAAGAAATATCCAAAAGAAAAAGAAACAGTTAAATCTAGAAAATAATTCTAAGACCCTTCTCTCCTTGGCTGAGGTGCATCCAGTGGCCTCACCTTTGCAATCTCCAGATGCCACTGTGAGTAAACAGGAAGCCAAACCCCAAGACATTCATACTGCAATTCAGCTACCCAGTCAATGTGATTCAGTATCCCAGCATATACCCCAACCTTCTCAGTCAACCCCAATGGGAGCATTCGCTCAAGTTCAAGAGATCTTTAACCATGTGGCCTCACCTGCGCAGTCTCCAAGTACCACTGCGAGTAAACAGGAAGCTAAACCTCAAGACATTCATACCGCACTTCAGCCACCCAACAAATGTGATTCAGTATGCCAGCAGATGCCCCGACCTTCTCAGTCAACCCCAATGGAAGCATTCACTCAAGTTCAGGAGATATTTAGCCATGTGGCCTCACATATGCAGTCTCCAGATACTGCTGTGAGTAAACAGGATGGTAAACCTGAAGACATTCATACTGCACTAGAGTCACCCAATCAACATGATTCGGTGTGCCAGAAGATGCCCCAACCTTCTCAATCAACCCCCGTTTCCTCTAATTCCAGGAAAGATTTACCCGAGCCCACGCCAAAATATCAAAACACCTGCCAAGCTAGTGGCATAAAACCTCTGTTAAATGATCATGACTTTTCTGGGAGACAGGAAGTCTCCCATTCAGTCACTGCATATCCTGCTGTCCCAGATGCAACCTTGAATGTTTCACGTGTACCCGAATCTGCAGAAGTCAATAGTGTCTCAATTACAGCACCAACACCTTCATCACCTCCTCCACTGAGACCTTCCATGGCTACTTCTACTATAAAAACTCTTTCTTCTCCTCCCCCACAGCAAGTGCCGCCATCAGTTTCAAAACCTGAGGACTCATCACTTTCCAAAGACTCTGAAACCTATACACAGGATGGAACCCATCCATCTATTACTAGTCATCCAGGTGCCCATGGGATGCCAATCTCAGGTACCATTTCTGGCAGTGTTTTACCTGATCCACCATCCGCTCCTCCACATTCTCAAATTACTACGTCAGCTCGGCCTCCTCCAACTCCTCCACCACCTCCTCCAACGCTGCCTTTGAAAGAGAACCTTGCTGATGGATCTGGACCTCCTCCACCTCCACCTCCTCCTCCTCCTACTCACTCAGGGCAAGCTGGAGGCACTACAAATTCATCTCCAGTGCCACCACCACCACCTACTGCTGCCACTGCATCAGTTCCTTCTGCCCCCCCCTGCTCCACCTCCTTTTGGTAAAGGAGGCTCGAAGACAGGGAATCCCCCACCGCCACCAATTATTTCCCCGGGTAATGCGAAAGGACGTCTATCACGTACCATAAGTTCAAAAAATAATAATGCAAAGAAACTGAAGCCATTGCACTGGTTGAAACTATCAAGAGCAGTTCAGGGAAGCTTATGGGCTGAGGCACAAAAATCTGGTGAAGCCTCCAAGTATGGACTAACTTGCTACAAGAGAAGACTTATGACATGTAAATCTTGCAGCGTCTGACATTCTTATTTATTTTATTGAGACAGAGCTCCAGAGATTGACATATCAGAGCTTGAGAATCTTTTCTCAGCGGCAGTTCCAACTTCAGATCATGGCAGGAAATCAACTACACAGGGTTCAGTTGCCCCTAAATCGGATAAAGTTCAACTGGTAAATTTCTTTCAACCTTCAGTTGATGAAGAACGTGTTGCCTATATGGATTTTTGTTATTGACGTGGTTTGTGTTCATCCTTATACTTCATAGCAGTCATGTCATGAATGAGCTATATGTGTTTTGTTTTCTGGCTTGCATCTCAGCCTGGTTCGCTATATTATCATGAAAATCGTATCTACATCTAGCTTTTTATTTGTTTAATGCAGATTGACCACAGACGTGCATATAACTGTGAAATCATGCTTTCAAAGGTGAAGGTTCCATTGAATGAGTTAATGGTAAGCTTGATCGTACTTTACAAATTTGTACACAAATAATTTGTAGTTAAGATTTACTCCGGGCTAATTTTCAACCTCTATAGAACTCAAATCTATGGATGCTTGATGTAATCAATACTGTCCAAAAAACATGAACTTACACAGTGTGTGTGCATCGTGAAATTTAAAAATTGAAAAAGACTCTAACTACTGAATTGTAAATTCATTATGGGCACGATATCTGACCAAATATTTGAAGTAGTTGAATGATCGCCAACAAAGGCATGGGTAATGGCTTTAAATGATGGCAGTCTTAAGAATCACTATGGTTTTTTTCTTACAAATATTTTATTTTATTCCACTCCTTTATTGTGGTGTCATTATGTAGCTATATTTTTCACATTAGTTGGTACTTGAACTTTATTCCGTTTAAGTTGCAACATAAAACATCTTATTCCGTACAGAGGCATTTTATGGTGTGTATTGTTATATTTGTCTTTTCCAACTTTAGTAAACTTCTCCCCATTTGCTGCCAGAATGGTTGCATTCAACTCTTCAGTTCTCTACTAGTGATGATTGAGGTGCCATTGCAAACTACTGTAGCATGTATCACCTCTTATCACTAAGCAGTGGTGTCTAATTCACAGACAGTGCTGTAATTCTAAGCAACCTTCTTTCAGCATTAAAGCAATATTTTTCTATTTGAGTTGTATGGTCTTAGAAGCATCACACAGTAGTGGATTCTTTCATCAGATTATTGGTTATCCTTGTCAATATGCCTTCTTCTGTAACATTGACAGAAATCAGTGCTTGCCCTGGAAGATACAGCATTGGATGCTGACCAGGTTGAGAACCTCATAAAGTTCTGTCCAACAAAAGAGGAGATGGAACTGCTTAAGGTACATCAAACCTGTTACTCAAGATAAAAGGTTTGCTAATTCATTTCAAGGTTGTAATCTATAATTATGTTTTCAGGGCTATACTGGAGAAAAGGAGAAGTTAGGAAAATGTGAACAGGTTTGCAGGATATCACTGTTGCATTATGCTAGTTAATCATGGCCTCGTAAACAGGATGAATAATCATCCAAACACTACTTGATATACAACATTACATATCATGTTCATGGGTTATTCTGAGGTTTAATTTGTTGTCTGTTTTCTTAGATGTAGTTGATGGTGGATATGGGGTTCTTAGAATTGTAAACACATTTAGAGTCATCATCAAATTGATGATCAAGTTATTATCTGGTGTACTTTTTATGCATTAATACACGTGGACTCCTTTACTGATTTTTAAATGTTGATGGCAGTTCCTCTTAGAGTTAATGAAAGTACCTCGAGTAGAATCAAAGCTCAGAGTTTTTTCATTCAAAATACAATTCTCTTCTCAGGTAAACTAACATTTTTATCATCTTGATAGTATATTGTTTGGGTTTTATATTAAGACTTAACGACGGTACATAACTGCCATGTAGGTCTCTGACCTTAGAAATAGCTTGAATGTTGTGAACTCTGCTTCAGAAGAGGCAAGTTCATCCTTCTTTTTCCTCAACCATTGATGGCAATCATTCAAAGATTATTGAGGTCTCATTTTTCTTGCTACATGTGGTCTTTATCAGATCAGGAATTCTGTCAAATTGAAAAGAATTATGCAGACAATTCTTTCACTAGGAAATGCTCTGAACCAGGGGACAGCTCGGGGTAGGTTGAAATTAATTTGAATTGTCATCTTAGCATTATACAATGTCATAAGATCAAGCACATATTTCAATACTTTGTCTGAATCCAGGCTCATATTCATTCATATTTCACGGGTTCGGTCGGAATTACACATGCAACAGTTTTTATACTGCTGATTTGTACTACTAATTTAATTCCTTCTGAGTGTAATAGTTGATGTTATATTTTAGGCTCTGCTATCGGATTTAGGTTGGATAGCCTTCTTAAACTCATTGAGACTCGCGCAAGGAACCACAAGATGACTCTTATGCACTATCTTTGTAAGGTAGATTCTTATGGACTATCTTTGTTAGACCGTGTGTTTTAATTATGGTTTTGTCATTACATTCTTTTCTGAGTGCTACTGCAGTTGTATGTTTGTTAAAGTACATTCTCAACTGTGTTGTAGTTCGGTGGAATGCAAAATCTTGTTTGTATGTATTTCTTTGAATTTACTTTTTAATATGCATTTTTCTGGTTTGTTTGGTCTTGCCTCTAGGTACTCATTGACCAACTACCAGAGGTTCTAGATTTCTCTAAAGACCTAGCCAGCTTAGAACCTGCGTCAAAGGTATTCTTTTTGTGTCTGGTCCATAATTTTCAGGATTTTTTTGGGTATCTATTGACCGACTTTTCTATGTGTTATAGATACAATTGAAATTTTTGGCAGAGGAAATGCAAGCTGTAAGTAAAGGATTAGAGAAAGTTGTACAGGAACTATCCACCTCAGAAAATGATGGTCCTATATCAGAAAATTTCCGTAAGGTAATTTTGTGGCAGTAATAACAGTCACAGATTATGCTTGACGTTCAGGCTTTGACTTGTAGTTTTTCTCATAACCTTCAGATTCTAAAGGAGTTCCTCCGTTTTGCTGAAGCGGAAGTGAGGACTTTGGCTTCACTATATTCTACTGTGGTAAGTCTTTGCTTGATGAGCACTGATTCAAGGTTTTATAATGTTTGATATAGTATTCTTGACTAGGAGCTGAACGTCGCAGGGTAGAAATGTGGATGCACTGATTCTTTATTTTGGAGAGGATCCTGCTCGCTGCCCTTTCGAACAAGGTATTCACCAAGAGTTCTAGACCTTCCATTCCACTAGGGGCTTTTTTATGATATGGACCGTTTATAAAGAGACTGACCATCTTCCTTCATCATGTGATATTAAAATATTAGCGCCATTTTACTTTCTAAACATAAGAGTACTGTTGTCTTCTCTGCCGACAAAAGTCAAGACTGCTATCCTCTTTTTTTTTCCTTGGGTCACTGATGGCCATGTATGTAGTGGTTTGTCAATTCTTGAAAAATCGACCATAAGTATATGGTGGTGTGCCGAACAGAATGTAGTCAGCATTAAACTATAATCACTGTAATCACGTGCTACCTTTCTAACCATTTCAATTTACTGCTGCAGTTGTCTCAACTTTGCTGAACTTTGTTAGAATGTTCATCAAAGCCCATGACGAAAACTGCAAGCAGAGTGAGATTGAAAAGAAGAAAGCAGCAGAAAGCGAGAAGCCCAAGATGGGTGCTTCAAAGGAGTCTGAACGATTGTCGCGTAATCCAATCAAGAGTGGCAATACATAATGCTCCAGTTTCTAATCTGCCATGCACCTCATCTGGGACAAAAATTATAATATGAGCATTAGATTGAGCAGAAATAGTTTCTTTTTCCTTTTCTCATTTTCCCACTTGCATTGCCAAGAGGGCATAGATTTTGATCGATAATGGGATTAGAATGTAAATTAGCTAGAGTCTCGGATGTAGGTATAGAGTTGTGATGAAGTGACAGAATATGATGCTGCAATGCAAGGCTGATTTTGTCCTCCGAGAGGCGCCTTTTATTGTTCGTATTGGACCAGGTACGTATAGGAGAGTTTCAATAATGCAGATTTTGAGTAGGCGATTTGTACGATATATAGATGATGCGCCAGTTTCTTTTATTGCTGTAAATAAAACGAAGGGATTTTTGTCATAGTTCCCATCCCAAAGCTTTCTATAAATTTAATATGTTTTCATTTGCTCACTTTTTTTCTTCTTTTTTTCATTGATAATTTGGTATGCTTTTAGAGGGGCTCTATTTGGTTTCGTTACCCTCTATTCCAGTAGGCCCAAGGAGCCAAGCCTGAGACGTGGGACTGCAAATTCGTAACTAATTAAATAAACATAAATTATACAATTAAAAATATAAGGATAAAAACACACAAGTATATAATAAATTCCAATGGCTGGTTTGGATTGTGAGTAGAATTAGGATTTCCTTCCTTACCCAAAAAAAGAAAAAGAAAAAGAAACAGGAAATCCTTGTTTTCCAAGAAAAAAAGATTTCCTAATACATGCTAGGCTGCTCTGCTGTATAAAAATGTAATTAGGTTTACCCGTAAATCCTAAATTATAATTACGCACGCGTAACTCCTCTCTCTCTCTGCTCCTCCTCCTCATTGTTCAAAACTAAACTGCTCTCTCCTCCTCCTCCTCCAAAACTAAACTGCTGCCATGGTGATGTTGGTCCACGCCAAAGATGATGCCTACCTCGATGCCGTCATTCCCAAGCGCATCCAACTCTTTGAATCCATACAGGCCCAGAAACATGCTGCTCGACAGTCCCTCCCCTCCGATCCTATCAAGTAAACCCTAAAACCTCTAAACCTCTTTTTGAATTATATATGCTTCTCTTCTCTATGTCTTTCTTAGAGTTACATTTATTCAATGGAATGCTATGAAGAAGACACTCACTTGTAACCCTTGATGTAATTCTGATAGCTTTTTCCACTTCAAATTGAGTCATTCTTGCTCGTCAAGTATATATGGATTATAACTTCAAATGTTCAAATATAAAAGCAAATACATGAAGAAATATATTATACATAGTGATATTGCGTGAAGTTTGAAATATATATTTTTTTTAATTAATTTTTTTTACTGAACAGACCAACATGTAGACCGGGGGCTATGGTCATTTAGGTTATTACATGTGAAAAAGCTGTTGCGTGACACTTGTTGACGTACATATTGTGTTATTAAGAGCATCTTGTTTTCTTACGTCTTCTTTCTTTTCTACCCAAGAATTGGCGTTACTTTTGTTACTGCTGCGCTGGTCTTTTTTTATTTATTATTTTATATTTCTTATCCCTATTGTTCCCATAATAGTAATACTAAGATTTTCGCGTGTTTCACGAGAAAATCTGTTGAAAACAATTATATTCTTGTTTTTCTCCATTTGTGATTAGTCCCTTGACTCCTCATGAATACAAGTATAACCACTGCACCAATCTCTGTTTCATGATCTGATAATTCATTAGGGTTACTCATTTGAAAAATGCTGGTGGTTGATTGCAGCTTGATTATCAACTTCCCGAGCGATTTGAGCTGTGTTACTCATCGGAGGAAGGCAAGATGGAGAGGCACAGAGCTATTTTAGGTTCTGTTGAGCGCATGGTTGCTGTACTGTTGGAAGACTACAAGGGGAAATGGCCCTAGTGGCTCAGTCCACGTCAGGCAATTGTTTGCCCTGTCTCGCAAATCTCTATGCGTTATGCTGAAGAGGTTGGTTTATCTTGGCTGTTTTGGTCGAGTATAGCTTGTTTATCGTCTTAAGGCAATGAGCCATGAAAGTTTCTTAATTTTGTAGGTAAGGGATCAGCCCTGTGAAGCTGGTTAGTATGTGGATGTTGACACAAGTGATAAAACAATTCAGAAAAAGGTGAGCATTCATAAGTATAATAACTGAAGGAAGTGATTTTGATTGTTTAAGGCAGGCAGACAGGCAGCCTTGTGTGTTGTTTGTTTACTGATAGATATTGTTCTTGTTCATGTTGTTGTTGTTGTTGTTGCAGGTACGAGAAGCTCAGATGGCACAGTACAACTACATTTTAGTTGTGGGTGGGGAGGATGTTAAAAATGGACATGTAGGTAGTTAGTAACTGTTTATTATTAAACTAACCAACACTTAGAGACAGACTTGTGTTGTTGGAGTTGGGCAGTGTTTTGTTGTTGCATCTAAAACTAAATTTGTCAAATTCAGTTGAGACATCGAGATTGGTTTCCAAACTTGAAACTTGAATATGAAATTGGGGATTGAAATCCCAACTGTAAGTATATATGTCACTTTGTTTGTTTATGGTCTAAGCTTTATAGCAATAGCAAACGTGGAAGATATTTACAACACTTTGGTATGGTAGTTTAAGGTAGATATGTTATTGCTCATCAACAAAAACAAAATGCGACTTTGATTGACTTGTGGGCTGGGTTTGTTGTGAGTTACTTTTTTATATTTGGGCTTTGCCACCCACTCTACCAAAACCTAAATATTAAAACGTTTGGTCGGGTCAAAACTATAAATAGTATTCATTTATGTCATTGGATCGGGGTCGTTGTCACGTGCGTTTTAGGTGGTACACTGGTGCGTGGAATTACCAAGTCGTCAACACCAACAAACAGTACTGGTAAATCACGTGCCCGCAACGTTACAAATTCTGCCCACTGCCCAGCCCTCTATACGGAGAGAGAATTTTATACAACGGGAATAACACTTTTTGTTATCTTTGACTAATAGCGCAATGCATGTATGATAATTTTTTCACATATAATTGTATTATCAGTTGGGATAGCAAAATAATATTATTCCCGTTATAAGAAAGTTTTTCTAATTCACATGACTATATGATTCTCTCATCTCATCAATGTCTTAAATATATAAAATATATATTTTTAAGGACAGCTTCCTTCTCTTTCGATCCCAATACCATATGATACCATAGCATTATGGAAGTTAACAAGCTTTTTTTTTGTTGTTGTTGGTGATTTGCTACCAAATACCAAAGCAAGGCAAAGCAAATCCCAATAGACTGAACAACGTCCAGCCCCCTCCTCAAACAATATAAATATTAGGGTTTTTCACAAGTTACGGTGTGCACAAAACCAAAATAAAACATTGGTCCGTCATTTCCTGCCAGGTTATCATTATTTTTTCCTTATTAAAAACAGAAGAAATAGTTTTTTTAAAAAATTAATTGGGTATGTGTCGGTGAGAGTTGGGCTGAAAAACATATTACAATTTACAGTCGGGGTGTGATGTGAATGCTGCAGCATTACCTATTATTTGGCCACGTATGCCGATTCCAGCATCTGGTGGCCCCACGCTAATTTATTTATTTATTTATAAGTGAATCAAATCAAATCAAATGATTAATACTTGTGCGCTGATAATCTTGCGATTCATAAAATGAATGATTAGAGTGCGAAGAATTTTCAAGATCGACTTTACATTTTAATACAAAGTGAAGGACTATGATCGAAGTCCTTAATGTAATTTTAATACTTGATAGTTTTATTTTATACACAACAAATAAATTTATTCATTCATAATTGTGTAACGTAAACAATGTTGTTGGTGTTGGATTCCATATCAGCATCAATCAGTTAGTCAAACATCACTCCCATGGCCTTGTCTTTTCACAAATATACTTTTATTTTATTTTTTGTGTGGGAGAAATTGATTTGCATCCCGGTAGTTGTCCTTATCCAGCCCTTTGCCATAGTGGATTTCCTACTAAATGCTAAATACATAAATGCGTACAGTGCAGCATTTTAATTTTTCATTTGGATTTACGCGCTCTAAATGATTATGGATTCAAACTTTCATAGTATCGTATGCGTGAGTTACCTTTCCCTTCTTAACTTTGGTAAAAAAGTTTCCATCCCATCAATATTTCTGCACGTCACTCACTGAAAAATCATGTTTAAGGCAAAAGGGAGAGCAAAGGCAAAGCAATAATAATCAAAGCAGTAAAATTGCTTTTTACTTTTCTATCTACATGGGGTGGGTGGGTGGGTGAAATAATTAGGTTGTTTAGCTAGCTGCCAATGCCTGCATTAAATGGATCACCGATTAGCTTATGCATCATAATGCACAGCTATATGAATTTGAAATGCAATGAAATTATTTGAATTCGATATTGTTTCACAACTTAATTAAATTATTGAAATTTTAGTACTTTTTTGAAGCGATGTGTTCATTAATTTATATGACATAATTAGATGTCTAAACGGTTTTCAATTTGTTTAATTTTTTGCGAGAATGATTTATGAATAAATACCTAAAAAATAGATGGTTTTGATTATTGAAAAAAAAATCGTAGAGTATCCTAAATAGTGCCCCTTATATAAAATTATTTGAGAAATCTATCGATATAAGGAGACTATATTTATCTATAAAGTGATGCAAGGAGAAAAGGTATGATATGAAGCTTCCTCACGTTAGCTGTTGCTGTTGGCATCCCTTTTGGCCTTTTGCTTTATCCAAACTGTGCCATAATTTACTGGGCAGGCACAAATCAATAGAGCATCAAGTTAACATCTCCAATACAAAAGTAAAAGAAAAGCTTCTGTCCCTTTGTCTGCATTAGATTGGATGTGTGGAGGAGAAGGAGGAGAAGGAGGAGGAGCTTGGCCATACTAGATAAAATGGGTTTTGGTTGCAGGAAATGAAACTATTGCCTCGTTCTACATTTTAAACGACTTTAATGTACATTGTAGAGGAAAGAGTCTGCATTTTAAACGACTCTAATGTACAGGGATGAGTTAAAATTCGGATGCAACAATGGAGAGGGCACACCACATTTGCAAATGAAACCATTGCCAACATAACAAATCACCATATGCTTCCAAAGTCCACCTCTCTCATCCCTCTCTAAAATTAGGAAGCAAGGTTCTCCATTTGCATGTGAGGGATGACTTTTGGTTGCCTCGGTCACAGTGTTCATAGAGATCCTCCGATACAAAAGCTATAAGCAGGCTTAAGGGAAGGAATCAATACCCCCCAAAAAAGGAGCAAAATAGATCATCGTTAATCATTCAACCCCTAAACCATTATTTATCTCACTTTTTGTTCACTTTACTTTATAAAACTCACACTCGCACATCATCAATCCACAAAAATTTTTATGAAAAAAAAACACACACACACAGAGAAAGAAAAAAAAAGAAGAAACCCAGTGGGTCGGTGACCCAGTGCCTTCCTTACAAGATACGACTATTAACAACACAATCTAGCTAGTAGAAGACCGGTACTCTTTCATGCTCTCTCGCTTGCTTTCCTTTTCAAAGGCAGAGAGAGAGAGAGAGATCCCAATGTTTCACGCCCCACCAACTGCCATTTCTTCCGCTTAAAGCTTTCTTTTTATCCAGTCATGACGGGTGCCATCTATATGTCCTATTTTACTATTCATTGCTAAAGAGAGATTACCTAGATATATATAAAAGGGCAATGGATGTGGGTAGAAGGAGAGACGGGGTAAGGAGTGGTGTGGTTGCAGGGTCTGTGTGGGAGAGCAGAATGAAGATTGATGAAGTCAAAGGTGGAATTAAGGTCTTCAATGGCGATCAGGAGAATTCTGAAGATCAGAGTAATGCTAGCAATGGGGTTGCTGGAACTCGTACAAGGTCGAAGAGAGGTCAAGCTGGTGGTGCACTGACTGCTGCTGGCAAGAGAAAGACTTGGAAATCTGACACCTCTGAAGGTTTTGAGAAGAACCCAATTCAGATATCCAAAGCAAAAACAGAGTCTTTGAAGAATTCTGACCAACAGTGCAAGGAACTGAGTGTGTCTGTTGATGGGATCAAGAAGAGCCCAACTCAGCTGAGAAGGCTTAGATCTGAGGCAAGCAAGGAGATTGGTGCTGCTGCTTCTGATAAAAATGAGAGAAGCTCAGTTGGGATTAGGAAACCAAGGAATGAATTACGGAAAAGTGCTAGTGATTTGGGTGAAGCTAGTGTGGGAATTGAGAAAAATTCAGCTCAGTTAAGGAAGGTAAAATCAGAGTGTAATAAGGGACTTGATGCTTCTGGTAATGCAATTCAATTGGGAAAAGCGAAATCTGAGTCCAATAAGGCCTTGGATGAATCTGATAAGGAAATTGATACGCCTGTTGAGGTAATTGAGAAAAGCCCAGTTGAGATTGAAAACAGTGGATCTGAGGAGAATTGCAAGGAGTTCGGTGTGTGCCAAGAAATGGTCATTTCAAGCGGCGAGAGCAATGTGGATGTGCCCAAATCTGATCCAAAGCATCGGTGCATGATGGTGATGATCAAGAGGGTGATGAAGAAGACGATGGAGATGAATTGGAGGAAGAGGTGGATGAGGAAATTGAGGTTGAGGTTGAAAAGAAAAGCGTTGATATTAAGGAAGTCAATGCAACAGAAGAGAAATTGACCACCAAGGTTGTGAATGAAGAGAAGGTAGTGAAAGTGAATGAGGTCAAGAAGCTTCTTCACCTTGACCGCAAAGAAGTGAAAAAGCTTTATCAAGTTCATCAAAATCAGAAGCCAGAACCCATCTCCTTAAACTTGACAAAACCACTTCCTGTTATAAAACGTGCAACAGTTCATTCAAACATCCCCAAACAAACTTCGTGTAAGTTCTTCTTTTCTTTTGCTTTTTTTTTTTTTTTTTTTTTTTTTTTTTTTTTTTTTTTGTTTATTTGGGTTTTTTTGTTGTGGGCGTTGTTGTTTTGTCTGTGAACTGTCTTCTGTTTTTTTTCCAATCAATTAGTTGCAGCTTCAAATGAGTACCATAACCATACCAGCTTCCAAGAAACACATAGCAGATTGCAAAGTTTAGGTGAGTTTTCATATTCCTGACATGTTGAATTGCAATTTCTACTGCAAATGGTTTCAATTATAGCATTCCCTTTTTTAACTTCTTGTTATTTTTCTCAGTGGATTTAATTATGTGGAAAGATATATCAAGATCGGTTTTTGTATTTGGAATGGGAACATTTGTGATACTATCATCCTCCTACACCAAGGATCTTAATATCAGGTCAGGAAAGTTCTCAATAAAAGAGTTCAACCAACACCTTGAATTCTGCATTTCCTTGGAAGCATAGCATTAATCTAAGTCTGTTTGATCTTTTTCTCCTGCAGCTTTATTTCTGTCATATCCTATCTGGGGCTTCTTTATCTAGGTGCCATCTTCCTCTTTAAGTCCATTATCTGCAGGTAAAGCTTTTTTAATTTTTATCAACATATTAGTGCTATAGTATGTTACCGAATTTCTCCCTTATCAACATGCTTTTTTAAAATTTATTTTGGAAATTGAATGGCAGGGGAGCTGTTGAAGTAGATAATGCAAACTATGTGGTGGGCGAAGAAGAAGCAATGTGGTTGCTAAAACTGGTTCTCCCTTACTTGAATGAGCTCCTCCTAAAGATGAAAGCTTTATTTTCTGGGGATCCTGCTACCACAATTAAGGTGACTTTCTTTCTTGTCCTTCTTTTATGTTTATTTCTTTTTAGCAATGTTGCAGTGAGGAAGGAAAGATAATAGGCTAAATTGTAATAACGTTTGCAGTTGGCAGTGCTGCTCTTTGTTCTGGCCAGGTGTGGCAGCTCCATAACCATTTGGACGATGTCCAAAGTGGGTAAGTTCACTCACATTCATAATCAGAGTCTTTTGCTTCTTCTTTTTTCTTGGTGTTCTTCTTTTTAAAAGAAAAAGAATGGATTATTAATAGCATGTAAAACCAATTTGATTAGTGGAAAACTGAGAGAGAAGAGTAAAGTAAGGAAGAGTGAAACAGTATCTGTCTGCTGCTTTTATTTATTTAATTTTAATTTTATTATAAGTTGGCAAGCAGCCAAAGCAGCAGAGAGAGACAACTGTCAAATTCTCTGCAACTCGAAGTCTGAGTGAGGAGATGTTGTTTTAACTTTTTCACTGACGCTCGCTTCGTTGTGCTAATTGACAGGCTTTTTCGGAGTTTTCACCCTGCCAAAAGTCTGCTCTTTGTACTCAGCCCAGTTAACTGTTTACGGTAATTCATTCCTCCAATGATCATTGTGTCATTCAATTCAATTCTTCCACAATTTGACGCCGGCAAAGCGATTTCCTTTCATTTTTAATCTCCTCCACCCACATTGCTTACACATAATTTATGTCGGTCCAATACATTTCAAGTACGCATTTTCACAACCAAAACTCACCTAACCTTATTTACTTACCACTAGGCTCTAGCTCTAGGCTCTAGCTCATCATGTAACGGCTCTGTGATGGGATAGAGACTTTCGTAGCATGCTATCCCTGTTACAAGAAAGTTTTTCTGCTACGAGAGAGCGATAGTCCCGCATTTTATATAAGCAGTTTACTGAGCCCATCTCTGTAAACTGGACCCATTTACCGTTAGGCCTCCTTTTCTCCCCCGGCAATTATACTGCTTAATATTGGTTGGGGCCGACAACAAAATAATAGTTGTTAGGGTCCACTTTCATACGCTCTTACTAGAGTTGGGGTGGTTGGAGAGGCCTCATCCTTATGGGCCCACATGTGTTCTAGCCCAATAGGGTAATTTAGGAGAATCCAATACCATTATCATGAAATTCTTCAGTAGATTACAAGCAACAATGACATTTCAATTCTTCATATTGTGACACGTGGATAACAACAATGAGAGATGACCTAACGTACACCGGAATTTACTTATGTGAAGCTAAATTTTGGATTCGACGGTTTCGGGATGCTTGGGAATCATGCACTCACAAGAAGGCCTTGACCGTTGCCATATTTCTACTGGTTTGGAACCTGTCTTCCGTCGTGGCTCGAATATGGGCTGGTAAACGAACAAACCCAAACTATTTTTTCTTTAATTTCAAACAATAGAATATGTATATTGGTGGGGGTGTTTTGTTCTTATAATATTCAAAGTCATTGGGGGTTGTTTTGCAGCGTTTATATTGGTGGTGGCCTTCCGATACTATCAGCAGAAATTGGTGACGGAAGAGTGGGTGGAAGAAGAAGAAGAAGAAGAAGAAGAATATGAGGATGATGCAGGGGGTGAAGAAAAGTGGGAAGAAGCACTAGGAGCAGAAAGACTAAGACAAAGGCATGTGCAATCTCAAGTGGATAATAATATTACCAAACCAAAAAAGGATTCTAGATAAAGCCTCTATCATGTTCATGTGCTTGTGTTAATCTTCTTCCAACTTTTTAAAATTTTACAGTATTTCTTTTGTTTTTTTCCCTCCTTTTACTGTAAATAACTAAATATGTTTAATTAGGGACATTTATTGGTCCTACCAACAAGTCTAGGAGGACATTGTGAGTTTATGACCAATAATTATTTCAGTGTACTTTGTAGCTCTTACAAATATAAAGGGAAATAATTACAACCAAAAAAAATTATATGTTGTTTTGTCTTGTGGAATATATGTGTTTTATGTTTGAAATACATGAACTCTTGCGACCCGAATAAAACTTCCGTCTTTGAAAGAGGTGAAATAAAAGAAACAAACAATAAAAAAGTAGTACATGAGAATGCTAGTGCAGTGTGGAGAATACATCAGTCGCCGCGAGGAGCTCTAAGGGTTGACTAAAACCCAACAACAATGACAACATCAGCGAACAAGAACAAAACCCCAATTTGAATCAATGCGAAGAACAAGAACAAAGGATTCATATTCCATTATTTGTGATGGGAGATGGTTTCCTTAGCAACCGAAGTTGGACTTGAGAATTTCATCTCGCGCTAGTAGCTTTTTTAAATCTCAATTTGTCGTTTTAATAGATAAAAAAGATAAAATAAAATAAACGCAACTATGCTATTTTGGTAGGCGCGCGGTAAGAGTACTTAGTACAAGGAGGGTCAGATTAAATACCAACAATGCCATTGCTCATCTCTTCATATTACGCCCTCTGTCTGTCTTTATCAAACCCGCTTTTCCATCCCCCCCCTCTCTCTCTCTCTCTCTCCCCTCTTTTCTCTCTTCTCCAATGTTCAAAATTTTGACGAGGCTTTCTTTTATCACTCTGCAACCCTAACGCCACCAACGCATCCATTCCAACACTGTCGGAACCCATCCGCACCCGAAAGCTTTTCTTCTTGGTCAACTCTCAAATCTCCTGTAAATTCTTGGTCGCGGTATGTTCACTACTTCTTTTTCTTCATGCGTCTTTAAATTTTATCTGTCATGTGAATTTCTGGTAAATACTTTAGCTTTCTTATTATCACTTGTTAAATCAATATCTTTCGTTGCTGCCCATTTTATTACTGATTATCCGGTTATTTATAATGTGGTTACTTCTTGCCGTGATTCTTGTTGAGTATTTGCTCTCTCTCTCTCTCTCTCTCTGTGTATATGAGAGATTAGAATTGCAAGTTATGCTTTGTAATGATTTGTACAATGTGAGTATGTAGTTGATTATCAGTGAAGTGAGTAGATCCCTTTGCTTTCGCTAGTTTGTCTTCTGATAGAAAGGTTTGGAGTTTGCAGAAGATCTTCACTGATCAAAATACAAAATGGGGAGAAACATATTTATGAAATTGGTTTTTCCTTACACTAGACTTTCAGTAACTACATTTCTCTCTACCTCGGCTTAGCTGTAGGGGACAACTGCGGTAATACCCTCCTCTATAAGTTTTCTTTTTTCTTCAAGAAATTATTGAGGAACAGTAGTAAATGTGCTAGTTATATACTCTTCTCGAGTAATATTGCTAGAACAGGCAATTTATTGATCAATGATGACGTGTTTGAGAACACTTAAATATTTGACAAACCTTCATAATTTCGAATCCTCAGATTTTTTCACCGTCATCAATCTTTGATTATCATGATACTAACATTGTAATCATGATATGAAGAATTTAGATTCTTCTTGGTGGATTCATCAGCGTTGCCTCTCTGAGGCACATTAACTACAGAGAGGCCTGAGGCATATTTACTACAGAGCGTAGAATTGAGGATTAGAATAATAGTTAACTAGGCTGACATATTGTTAACGGGCTCTGAATCTCCATAAGAACAATCACTCTCACTTCCAAAGTTGTTGCAATTGATGAGGTTTGTGTATACCACAATAAATTTTTATGTAGCATGGCCTCATTGCCCTATAGCATATGCCCTTTCCAATCTTGCTGCAGTAGAAGGTGCGGTTATTAAGCTATTTTGCACATTATCATTCTGTGAACAACTACATACTGAAACACTTCATTTCCAAATAAAAAAAGCATATTGCTTGAAACTATGGAACATGCCAGTAGCCTAGTCTTGGTGCAAGTTGTTGAGACCATGTTTTCCTAGATAGGTGGGACTAGATTGCCAATGCATATTATATTTTGCCTTTAAATGACTGGGAAATCACTGTCTGTACTTAACCTATACAATTTTGAAGGATGCAAATTAGCTATAACGTTCTGAGCTTAGCTTAAATTGCTTCACTGGTTAAGTCACCAGTATTACTGCATGTGAGTTTTCATCATTTTCAGTGATTAATTTCTTTGTAAGGTTGTCTCTATGTGCATCTTCTGCTGCATGCATTAATTCCCCTCATCAAATCCATCTGGAGATTAACATATGTGAAGGGTTTTATTTAGATGAGTCTTGCCGAATCTCCGGTACATTCGTCTAGCAGTGATGACTTTACTGGGTTTCTTGAGAGAGCACTGGGTTCTGGTTCTTCGCATTCCTCACCAGATGAAGAAGCTGATTATGAGAGCGATGATGGAAGTGAGAGGAGGTGTTTAAATCTTCTTTCTTTAATGATTAATGTAGTATGAGTTTTCTGTAAAACTGCAGGTTAAAGTTTATTTAGCGTTCGAAAATTTTACTTGGATGCAACTTATGAATTACCTTGCAGTACAAAAAGGCGCAAGGTAGAGAATCTTGGAAGCATAGACAAAACTCATGGGTCCACTTCACAAGTATTTGTAGAAGAAAACTCAGGTAACTTTTTCAACTCAGTTGGATAGCGTTTTGATTTGTACCCTTTCAACTCCTTGCACTGCAAGAAGGGTTTCTAATAATGGGTGAAATGCTGTGAACTGTCTTAAACAACAAATCCCTGCCTGGTCATAAGACCAACTTAAAATTACTGTTCAGAAATACTCATTTTTTCTTGTTTCTACTCAAACAAACATGAGAAAAAGTTTCAAATGGAAAAAGCTTTGCAGAAATGCTTTTATTTATTTAATTTTAATGTAGAAACAAGTGGAGTCTTTAGAAGAAGTATGGATTGAATAAGAATGTTGCAATTATTATGTGCTGAAGGATTCTCAGAGGATAGATGTGAGCATCCTGTTTTTGCCTTTAGGTGCATAATATTGTATTCATCATGTTATTATGTGCAGAAGCATCCCCAAAGAAGGTTATCTGCACTCATCCCGGTTCAGTAAAAGATTTGTGTATAGTTTGTGGCCAGAGGGTGGATGAGAAGTCTGGTGTTCCACTTGGGTACATACACAAGGTACTTTTTTAGATGGCAAATCGGTAGATAGAAGAATTTTGGATGTTTTTGCTTAAATATTGGTAGTATACATGCATATGGTTTTCTATTAATTTGTTTTGTAGAGGCATTATTAAGTTCCTGTCAGTTCTTTCTTTTAATTTTTGAATTACCTATCCCTGATGTAAAAGACAAACTTACTGTTAGGAAAGAAACATAAATTTTCCATATATTCATTTTCAGTTATATGTAGAATGACTACTCAATCTGTTGCTATCTTCTTTTACATTGATATAAATTGGAATTTATATGTTTCTGCAGGACTTCTGGCTTAATAATGATGAAATTGACCGGGTACGCAGCACAGACATTAAGAAATCGTTACACCTTAAGAAACTTTACTTGGTACTTGATCTAGATCACACGCTGCTAAATTCCACCCATCTGAATCATATGACGGCAGAAGAAGAATATTTACACAGCCAAACAGATTCTCTGCAGGGTATCCAATGTTTTCCCTTCATGTCTTTTGCTTTTGTAACACAATTAATGTATACACCTTTCTTTGTGGGGTGTTTCTTGTCCCTGTTGGACTTTGCAAACTATAGACAGGTTCTCTAGTTTTATTTTCTGTAGCACGCTTCTGACATAAGACAAGGTTGATGAGGTGTTATTTGATTTGATTCATTTACCGTAGTATCGTGTGCACATGGATGTGCATACTCTTATGTTTTTCCCCAACTTAATTGTCGCTACACTGTGCTACATGTAGATGTTTCAAACGGTAGCCTTTTCAGAGTGGACGTTATGCATATGATGACCAAGTTGAGGCCCTTTGTTAGGAAATTTTTAAAGGAGGCCAGCGAAATGTTCGAGATGTACATATACACAATGGGTGAACGAGCCTATGCACTGGAAATGGCTAAACTGCTTGATCCCAGGAAAGAGTACTTCGGTGATAGAGTGATATCACGTGATGATGGCACCCAAAAACATCAAAAGGGTCTAGATGTTGTGCTTGGGCATGAAAGTGCTGCTTTGATCCTTGATGATACCGAAAATGTAAGTACCTGACGTCCTTGACTCCTTTATGTCTGGATACACTTGCCATGAATTTAATGGTCTTTGAATCTGTTGTTTATCTTTTGAAGGGTTATCAATGTTGCTATCCATTATTGTAGGCATGGACAAAGCACAAGGACAATTTAATATTGATGGAAAGATATCATTTCTTTAGATCAAGTTGTCACCAATTTGGGTTCCATTGCAAGTCTCTTTCAGAGTTGAAGAGTGATGAAAGTGAGCCTGAAGGAGCTCTTGCAACTGTTCTTGAAGTTCTTAAGCAAATCCACAATATGTTCTTTTATGTAAGTACCGCTGCTGCCTGTCTCTATAATGATAAAAAATTTCATTTTGTTATGAACTGATCAATTGTGGGTGAACCATTTGGTAGGAATCGAAGGACAATCTTATTGACAGAGATGTGAGGCAGGTGAAGAATTTTATTCAGGAACCACTAAAACTTGACACTCTTTTCTTGTCTGCTTATTTGGAATATATCTTTGTTGGAGTGATTTGTTTCTGGTGCTTTCACCGCAATCCAACTTCGATGCAGGAGGTCTGCAAGGATTCTTAATATGGATTCTTGTGAATGTTATTTGTAGGTGTTGAAAACTCTTCGGAAGGAAATCTTAAAGGGGTGTAAAATTGTTTTCAGCCGTGTTTTTCCTTCAAAATTCCAGGCCGAGAATCATCAGCTGTGGAAGATGGCAGAGCAGTTGGGAGCCACTTGTTCAACAGAATTGGACCCGTCGGTGACACATGTGGTTTCAACAGACGCTGGAACAGAGAAGTCTCGTTGGGCAGTGAAAGAGAAGAAGTTTTTGGTCCATCCACAGTGGATTGAAGCTTCAAATTATATGTGGTTAAAGCAAGCTGAAGACAAGTTCCCTGTCAAGCAAACGAAAACCTAATGATCTCTTCTTTCCGTGCTAACCGTGTCTTTTGTTGTGCATAGTCAGTGTGGAATATTTTACTCCTCTCGTTCAGTGTAGACCAGTTGCTCCATTGATCTCGCTTAATCAGCTCTCTCAAGTGAAGAGTACATGGAGCCAGCCACCACTTGATAGGGCATCATGGCCCCAGAAGTTCATTCAAGAAGTTTAATTTTCGTTGTTGAATTGTTGTTACACTACATAGAAAAGATGTTCGCTGACTAGGTGGGGCAATTTGATAGTGGATCTTTTGTCTCTATCATACGAAATTTTGACGTCCTCGAAATTAGGGTTCCAAAAGTGTCAAATTTGCTTAATAACACCGCGAGATAGAGCCCAGTGGGCTTCTGAATGCCTTGCAGGCCTAACAACGATAATGATGCTACATGACATGGGCCCGAAACCTTACTGCGGTTTTTGATTCTTTTATTTTTAAATTTTGGTCCGGGTATTTTTAGGAGATTTTTTATTTAAACTCCACACTTTTCTTAGTTCATTCCAATTTTTAATTAAAATTGTTGGACGACCTTTTTTGTCTTTTTACACAATAATAAAACTTATAGCTTAATGATTTAAGTATTAGAATGAACAAAGAGAAGTGCGGGATTTAAATAGAAAATTTCTTTTTGAATTCTTTATTGACCTAGTGGCTTAAAGTCTTTATTTAGCAAGCACGACCGAGAAAGCGACACACTAACCAAAAGGAATAATATAATGGAAGATGGGACTTATATTTGTTTGTTTGTTTTAAACTTATATATGCAAATGGTGCTCCCTAATCACAGTTAGTATGTTAGTACGGTGGTAATTACTCGTTTTGATCAATTTCACAATTTTTAGTATGATATTATTAGGTCCCTACTCAAAGACCATTCATATCAAGATTCTCAAAGATGGAAAAACACTTAGATATGTAATTGTGAGCCGTGACCAAATAAACAGATGAACAAAATATTATAGAGAAACAATAAAAGCAATTGGCATGCCAAGACTGGTGGTTTTGGATGAGCATGACATTTTTGGGGTTGGAACTTGGAATGTGTAGTTTGTGAATTAATTAGGTCAAAAACATCATACAGAAGAAGGGGACTGATGAAGAAAGAAGAGAGAGAGAGAGAGAGCGCGTGGAGATAGGGCCCATACTATTAATATTATTGAAGAAACCTCAGATCAGATCAGATGCGTGAGAGATTTCTTCACATTGTTGTTGGAGTGCCCTAATGTGGGCAATACCTTTCGATCGATAATGCCAGTGAAGGGAAAAAACAGGATTCTTAAAGTTTGCCCATGCAATGTTTTAAAATGAAGAAGCTAACATCAAAGTCTCACAATTGTTGCAAGAGCCACCATTTAATGATAAGTTGGATGAAATCGTGTTCATAAGTCGAATGAAAATGATGTAGAACCACCATCACCATTTAAGGATGCTAATTAAATAAGGATAACCCTTATCCTTGTATCTTTCTTAAACCCTGCACGTCTCTGTGTGGTTTGCAGCAACTCAGCTCAGCTCAGCTCAGCTGGCCCCTCTTCATTTACAGATGAACGGAACCAAAATTTCAATATTGAGTGATGAGTTTTCAGCCTTTTTGAGTCTTGCTTGCTCCAGAGTCCAGTGGCACAGTGGCGCCACTGTGCTACTGTGCCAGCAAAGCAAGAATCAACATTCACGTTTGAATTTTCAAGTAAGAAGACGTCAGACATGGCATGCTGTAACAGTCAACCTCAAACATTTGAGACGTGGCAAATATAATTCAGAAGCAACAATGAAGTCTAGGCTAGGCAGCTCCTAAATCCTAATTAATTAGTACTAATTAGTCAATGACCCTCCCTGATGGTAATAATTGTGAGGTGAGGTGGTGCCTTTCTATGGAATTGATTGGATTGATGATGGGGTGGCTGCCATATGTAATTTCAAGATTTGAAGTTTGATGAGGTGGTAAGTGGGGGCTTTTATCATCATATCATATTATTATTATTATTATTAAGTATTATTAATGGTTGAGGGAATTGGAATTGGGTGGCCAAATTTGATAGCTTATCTCCACCACTTGGAGGTTGGAACACGAAGGATATATTGATTGATTGAAGATAAGGTAATGTTAGCGATAGCTAGGCCAGCAGGCAGTAGGCAGCAATCATGACAAACTTTCTCCATTCCACTTGTGCCTGTCCTGTCCTATCCTAGTCTCCTCCACCACACAGGCTACACGAATTATTAGTCTTCCGCGTACAGAATTCTCATGACCAAGTAATTTTAATTTCACTTTCAACAAAATACAATAAATATTATAATACATATACATGGTGATGCTTGGTGGTGGTGGTGGATATATGGTTTTGTAATTGTAGGCTTGTGGCTTTCATTCAGTCTCAGCTTTAATAATGTCAGTGTCACGCCCTCATCAAACAGTAACAGCAACAGAAGCAACAGAAGAAACAGAAGAAACAGAAATTTCTCAATTTCCAGTTGGACCACTTCCCTTATGAATACATCTTTCCATTCCACCTGATGAGAGATGAGTGCTTGTTGAATCGCGATGAGTGCTTGTTGAATCGCGATGAGTGCTTGTTGAATCTTGATTATAAAAACGAATATATTTCGTAAGCAGCAGGATTTGGGTTTATACTCAGAATCTGAAGGAATTGCGTTCATTATCAATTGCATTCATATGCCAAAGGAACAAAACAAATAGTGACGCGGTGGAGATCAATTACTTGCTTCCAAGCCAATGCCGCTGGAACCCACATTCATTCAAAAACCGTAGTTTTGTTTTGTGGATCATATTCATTCAAAACTTAAGTTGAATAAATGTTTAACCTAAGGTTTGATAGATCCATTATGATTTTATTATTATCCACATGAATTAATTATAAGACCCTAAGATCTTAAACCTCTCCGCTGCTTTGTAAATGATATGAAAGGGTCTAGATGTATCTTTTCACATGGCGGCATATGAGCTCTCATGTTCATGTGACCCATGAGATTGTAGATTGTAATATATATCTGATTCTGATGGATGGATGGATGGATGGATGGATGCAGCTTTTCATTTAAAAATCTCCAGGTGGAAAACAAAAACAAAATAATTATTCAACTTAGACTTCATCTCCTTGACATAAACTTCCCTTAATAATAATTAGGAGAGAATCTGTGTTGCACAGCACGTACGTCATCACTGTTTTGATACAAAATAAATAGAAATATATATATATATCTGTACAGTACGTAGGAGAATAAATTTGATAGTTTATAGCTTTGGTGCATGCATTTGCATCCAACTTATAAGCGACAGTTAAACCGCTGGCCGGCCGATAAATTTATTTTATAACAAATAATTGTTGTAATTTGGTTTACTATATGAAATCGTCAGTGTATATTGAGATCGATAGATAATCATGGGTGGTGGGGGTGAGAAAAGAAAAGAATCCCAACGTTGAGATGAGATCAGAGTGGAGAGAGCTGCATTAATAAAAATATTCCTGCTAGCTTTTGGGATTTGAAATATAAATAGTTTAAGAATTTTTCTATTTACACACTTTTTTTTTCACTTCAATATTTAAATTCTTAAATTCTTAAATTTTATTATTGTATAAAAAGATAAAAAATATCAACCAACTTAATACTTAACTCTAATACATTTATATGCACATCTACACACCCTATTGTTATAATTACTCTTCACTTTTAATCTAAAAAACTTACTACACTCTCATCTTATCTTCACAAATTCTAAATAGTGGCTTGTGGATCGTCAATTGAGCTTATCAACAATGTTTTTATCTCTTTAAGTAATGTGAGATTGAGGTAAACTTAGAGTGGTAAGAGTAATTTGAGAAGATAATGAAATTTTCTTAGAAATTGGGAAAATTTAAAATAGAAGTTAGGGTAAATAAAGAAAAGTACGATATAGTTTATTTAGTGGGCAATAATTTTGAAACTTTTGTCGTATTGTTAGACATCACGTCTTGTGACTTGTGTGTCGGTCCAATCAACATATAGTAATCAGAAGAAAGAAAAGAAGCCGGAATATATAACTTCCTGTATGATTGCAATAATGTTTCATCGGATGACATAATTACTGAATCCAATCTTAGGCAGCATCTGGGGAGGGGATCCCTCCCTCCCTCCCTCCCTGCTCACCCATACCAACATGCCTTTTCTTTTCCTTCAGCGGCGATCGCTCAACATTTTCATGCAAATTATTATAAATTGCAATTTGCAATGCATTAATAATACCATATTGTTAACAGTTTTCTTCCAAGCCTTTTAATTTTTTTGGGGGGGCAAGCGAAAAACAAGCCTGTTGTGCATGTGGGGCCAGTCTTACATTTTGAAAGCAACAAGTAATTAACTAATGAAACTGGACCATCTGCAGTAGCAGCAATGCCAGAAGACAAATATTTAATAAAACAAACAACCTGTTTCTTTTGTTATATATGCATATGAATCTCATACGCGCACACAAAGAAAGCAATCACAAACTGCGGCTGAGCTTGCTTGTAGAATATTCAAGAAATGGACATTGCTTCAACTTCAACTAGTGAAGGGCATGATCGATCCATGACATATAAGTCTTAATTAGGCACATGCATCACACCCCAAATCAACACTTTAATACTGCATACAAAATGTAAATGTGGGATTAGTCTGCGCCTAATCAATAATTATATTCACTAAGCCCAATTGTTCGTACATATATAGTGATTGCGTTGACATTCAACGGCAGACTCGACTGAAGGTTCATGCTAATTGCACTGACCCAAGACATTGAATATGATCGGAAGCGTGCACGTCTCTGCAACCAAACCTAGTCTGACTCCCTCTAGTCTCTCTCAATTTTGCATGAGTTTTCAGTGAAGTAAATGGCCATCGTGCTTTTATTGTATATATATAAATTAATTGCACTTATATATACAAAGTTTGAGGGGGATAGACGACCCACGCGTATATATTACAAAAAAGAAAAAGAAAAAAAAAGGCAACCAACGTGGATGACATTTTTAAGCTTATTATTATAGTAGTCAAGATGATGATAATGAATCATGGTGGCAGATGGCTCACTCACCATTCACAAACTGACAGGTTTTATCTACATAGTAGTCAAGATGATGATAATTAATTTTTTATGTAATTAATTTGCATGATATCATATCATCAACTTATTCACAATCAACCTAATTAAAAGGCTAAAAGAAAATATGAAAGAAGCAAAAAAAATTAAGAACAGCGACCAAGAAAGAGGCGACACATCATTATTCATCTCAATTATATATATATATATATATATATATGTCAAGATCAATACAAAGGGAACCGCAGGGCCTTCAACCAGCGTTACAAGATAATATTTCATATTCAAAATCCGATAAATGAACAGAGTCTTCAAAATGGTTAGTTAGCGTGACTCGTGACTCGTGACTCGTGAGGATAAAACTGACAGCAGTCTGCATGCAGATGCAGATGCAGATCTCTATCTATTAGTTCATGAGCTGAGACATAATTAATCAAGATTTAGGGATGCATTTGTCGACCATCCATGCATGCACCCATGTGAAAATATCACTCAAAATCCGTTTCCATATATATATGCTTATGCACTGCATATGCAGCCATATGGGCCAATATGGTCTAGCTATTTTGAGTGAAGGACAGAAAAACAAGCACACAAGCATATATGTTTATGTGTTGTTGTGGGACACTCCCACTCAACTACTCAGTCGAGAAGGTGACCTGAACGGTGAACCAGAAAAACTCCCCCACCACCTCCTTTTTATTTTCTCATTTTTTAATATTCCGTATACATTCAATACCCTGTGTAAAGGATTTGTGTATATTATTAACATTAAACATGACAGAATTAGAGTGATTTTGAGAGTGATTTTGAATAGACTAATAATCACTTATACGAAGAATCAATTTTTCATAAAATTACTTTACAGGAAGATGTTTTTCTCTAAAAGTAATTATGGTCCCAAACGAACCGTGAATGAAGCCCATGATTAGTGCTTGACAAATTGACATTACTTAAATCGAGTGACACTACGTTTCAATAAAAAATAAAAACTGTGGGTGGGAAATTAGTGCTTGACAAATAGCATGCTTGGAAGTCATAACCAAGATGCAAGGGCCTGGTCAGCTGTTTCTCTGAGCGACAGACCAAAAGGATGCAGGTGCAGCCGCCCAAACCCAATTTGCAGTTCCTAGCAATTTCTCAGCAGCCAGTGAACAGTGAGGGTGGTCTCTGATGTATTATATATGTTGCACACCACAAAAGACTCAACAGATTTTCTGAGACTTGACTCTTGTTCACAGAATTAAGCTGAAGCTGCCGATGCCATACGAATTTCATATCAGTTTCCTTCCTCTTTATAATAGATAACTTTTATGAGTGGAAAGATAACTCACTCACCGTAATTATTGGTGGTGGTGGGGACAATCTAAGATATTTATGAGAACTTATATATTTTCATATACAAGTTGGTGTTGTTGGTCTCTGAAGACAAAGAAAGCAACGTATCCATTTCCATTGGAAAGCGATCTTGTTTGTTTAGCGGCTACAAGTTAAGTCACCATTACATTTTGCAATCATCGACTCGATCGCTCTCTGTACACTGTACACTGTACACTGTATCTGTAGCAACACCTATTGGTATTTAGTAATAGTATTAGTATTAGCCACAAATATTATTATCTCACCGACTCTTACCCTTACACAATAGACCGACTTAAGTTCACAGATAATAATATATTATTGCCTTGTGAAAAATAATCAACTTTCGGGGTCAAACTTCACAAACCAATCATCCATTAGAAAAATAAATAAAACACTTCATCTCTTTTAGCAGTGTTCTATGATTTGGAAACAAGCGAAATTAAGAAAATGATTAATTAATTTAAAACTTCCAATACAAAATACATTGCCGTGGTGTTTCCTCCATCTGAGATTGGATTATGAATTTATAATTGAGATATTTAGTGATATATCTATTCTTAGCACTAACATTATAGATAAACTCTACACCATTGAATTTTTATAAACAAACTAAAAAAAAACTCAAAAAATTACAGCTGATCTTATTGAATTTAATATTAATTATTAAATTACTTTGATACCCTATTGAGTGTTTTTGGTATTTTTATGAGATTTTGGGGTTGAGCTTGTTTTAAAAAATTAATGGCAATTTTGTAATTTATAAGAAGTTAAAAGCCTCTTTGTTATGTTGTAAATGAACTTTGGGTGTGTTTCTAAAATTCATTTCATATGAAATATTTTTATAATTTGGACAAATATCAATAATAAATCTCCTTTTATAACTTACCGTATACGTAAATGAGGTCCTCATTCATCCTCTCAAGGCTTAGGCTGACTTACCAACTGACAACCGGGAAATCGAGGAGGGACCACCTTCAATAATGGATACACGCGTCAGTTCTGGAATGGGTAGCTTTGAAATGCATTTCACCTTTTGAATATACTCGCACGTACATGAAACCAACCCAACTATGCTATTATTAAGGAATCAACGGGACATTCTTTTCACGGTTAAATCACCACAACTCATCCTTCAGCCTTATTCTTTCTATTTTTACCTAACAAAATGATATTTTAAATTACTCTGATGTACGTAAAGAAAAAAATCAAATTCAATACTAAAAGAGAGAGTATGCATAATGCACACTATCTTAATCAACTAACTTAATACATATCTAAACAAATAAAATTAGGCTCAAATCCAACTCTCGTGATTTTATTACTACTTACCTCTCTTATGGCATTTACCCATCACACATCATCGGAGAGAGCTTATCACAAAATAAGCCTGTGGCCCACAGAATTAAAAGAAAAAAGGGCCTAATACGGCAAAAATACCCACGAGGACAAAAACGTAATAACATTCCTTTGCCCTGCTGTCCGCTGCCGAACGGAAAGCCTAACACGTGTCAGTAATCCATTACGTCAAAACCACTACCAGGCAGTTCGGCTGTGACACGTACCCACCTGGAAGTGGCCTCAAGCCCGTGTGATCCACGAAACCCCATAGGCGTGTCAAGATCGTAATTTTGCACACTAACACCATTATATAACCAGACGCCATGAAACGGGAAAAAAGAAATTACAGAAAAAGAGATTTGACGCTAAAAGAGCTCTACTGCTCGGTGGTCCTTTTACAAACCCTCAAATTTAAGCAATCTTAGCAAGCTGAAGGTGGTTAGGGAATGCAGAGAGATGAGAGGAGCATCGCTGCACAAGCCTGAGCTATCTGTACGTGCCAAGCGCTGCATCGGCGGCAGGAATTGCCACCGAAAACACGTAGAAGACGGGTGACCCATTCGCCCCAGTTGTTTTTCGTAACTGTTAAATTTTCATCAAACACCTCAGCTTCATTTTTTAGTTAGTTTTATTTTAGTCACTGTTACCAATGGCGGATGAAAAAGGCAGAGATGGCTCCTCGTTGCTCCACGGCAAGTACGAGCTGGGGCGTCTTCTGGGTCATGGTACTTTCGCCAAGGTCTACCATGCCAGGAACTTGAAGAGCGGCAAAAGTGTGGCCATGAAAGTGGTGGGCAAAGAGAAGGTAATCAAAGTTGGGATGATGGAGCAAATCAAGAGAGAGATCTCCGTGATGAGGATGGTCAAGCACCCCAACATCGTCGAGCTCCACGAGGTCATGGCCAGCAAGTCCAAGATCTATTTCGCCATGGATCTGGTCCGCGGCGGCGAGCTCTTCGCCAAAATCGCCAAAGGCCGGCTCAAAGAAGACGTGGCCAGAGTCTATTTCCAGCAGCTGATCTCAGCCATCGATTTCTGCCACAGCCGCGGCGTCTACCACCGGGATCTGAAGCCGGAGAACCTCCTCCTGGACGAGGATGGCAACTTGAAAGTCACTGATTTTGGGTTAAGTGCTTTTTCCGAGCACTTGAAGCAAGACGGGCTTTTACACACCACTTGTGGCACGCCGGCTTATGTTGCTCCGGAGGTGATAGGCAAGAAAGGGTACGACGGAGCCAAGGCCGACCTCTGGTCTTGTGGGGTCGTTCTCTATGTGCTTCTCGCCGGATTTTTGCCGTTTCAAGACGATAATCTCGTGGCTATGTATCGGAAGATTTACAGAGGAGATTTCAAATGCCCGCCCTGGTTTTCATCGGAGGCCCGAAGGCTCGTGACGAAGCTTCTGGACCCCAATCCCAGTACGAGAATCACCATATCCAAGGTCATGGAGTCATCATGGTTCAAGAAATCGGTGCCGAAGATCGTGCGGACGAAACAAGAGCAGGAATTCGACGAGACGAGCGAGAAGATAACGTGGAAGCAGACGGAGACGTTGAACGCGTTTCATATCATATCGTTGTCGGAGGGGTTCGATTTGTCGCCGTTGTTCGAGGAGAAGAAGAGGGAGGAGAAGGAGGAGCTGCGTTTCGCTACGACGCTGCCGGCGAGCAGCGTGATATCGACGCTGGAGGAGGTAGCGAAGGCCGGCAAGTTCAGGATCAAGAAGAGCGACTCTATGGTGAGGCTGCAGGGGGAGGAGAGTGGACGGAAGGGGAAACTGGCGATTGCGGCGGAGATATTCGCGATGACGCCGTCGTTTCTGGTGGTGGAGGTGAAGAAGGACAATGGTGATACGTTGGAGTACAACCAGTTCTGCAGCAAGGAGCTGAGACCGGCGCTGAAGGACATCGTGTGGACCTCCCCGGAGGACAGTTCGACGGCTGTTTGATTGATATAAGAATTAAGATTATAATTTGTTGTGATTATTTTGTTGTGATTATTGTTATTGTTGTTGTTGTTGTTTCAATTAATTACTTGGGTTGAAATTGAAACTGGGGGTCTGGGTCTGGGCTTTTGGGGCTCTGGGGCTTGTAGCCAAAGCCTAGCCACCCATTAAGCAAGCAAGCAAGCTGTCTCTGGTTTGTTTTTGTTATGGTTGTGTCTCTTCTGTTTGTGAGGGTGGAATGGAAGAAGTAAACTGTGAATTGATTTGTGAAATTAGCGAAACTCGCAGCGCTGCCTACGCCTATCCTCTCCTCTCTTTTATCTTGATACGGATGGAGCAGTCTTTAATTGACCAAAATGATGAAAATTTGTCATTATTTCTCGTCACCTTATCAAGAAATTCAATGCATCCATTCAAGTTATTATTTTTTCTTTTTGTTTGCATGGATAGAATTACAGATTTGGTATTGAATATTACTTGTCCATGAGCAAAATGAGTTATTCCATAAGCAGTTGTTGACATTCATAATCAATTATGAGCAAAATGAGTTATTCCATAAGCAGTTGTTGACATTCATAATCAATTATGATCTGATATATGTGTGGTCATAAAAATAAAAGAAGCCTGCCTACTCACTCATCATCCCATGCTATGAGTTAATTAGAAACTAAAATTGCGAGATGTGAGTTAGGCCATTTCGTGATGCTAATCAACTCCCGGATCCCTTGCATTTAAGTGTAAATATTAATTTAGAATAATTTAAATAAACGTTTGAATGAAAATTTCAAAATTTCAAAAGTTAAAATGAGATGTGGACTCTGAATGATCAAGTGTCCCTAGGGTAGGGCTATGCCATCATCTATCTCCTCGGCCTAAACTCAATCAACAACAACTAGGACCTTTACCCTTTTTGCTGTTGTTGTAGGCGCCCATCAGTAATTGTCATTTAGGAACAACGTACACAAAATAATACGAAAACATTCGATAGACAGCCAGGTGTCTGTTGGTGTTGCTGATGATCATACTGGGGAAGGCCACTTGCCCTTCTTTTTAACATTGTTTTTTCTTTTATTCCACTCAAATCATCTATCTATTCTTCTATCAATCACTAATTGTAATTAATAGCTAGCTTCTTAATTAAATCACGCTAATAACAACATAATAATGATGATTGCTTGACTTATATATGCAGCAGCAGTAGCACACTCGAAATAATCCCTCTGTCTAAGGAATCTGAGGAGAAGACAACATCTACCGATGATGCACCAACACCTAGCCTACTTAAGCATGATCATAATTACAAAGCTGGGGTCCACTCTTTGATTAATTACTACTAAACTGCTTAATTATGAAAACAATAAGGTGATGAATGATTGCTACTGATTAATTTAGCAGTGCAGCTCTGCTCTTCATATTCATGATTACTCTTACTGTCTTGTGTGTACGCAGCACTGTATGTATCTCTATCTCTCAGCGTCAGAGCCAAGAAGGTAAGGTAAAGTTGATGGATAGTTGCCTTTGAGTAGGTGGTGGATCATCAATATGCCATCATGGCATGTGCCACCACAGTGTTATGTTTCTGCTATGAAATAATAACAACATAATTATATCGCAACTCAATCATGTAATATCATATTCATCAAGATTCCAGACAACACAAGAAGTTAAAAGACAACCAACGTCACCAACGAGGGTTAATTGAGTTTACATCTTGGTGAGTAATCTATACAAACCCAAAAAAATGGTTAAGACCCTCTCCTCCGTATCAATATATATGTCCATGTACATGTCTATACATGATTCTTTGTGTCTGCAATGAAAAGATTATCTCCTTCCTTGGATTGGATATAGTAATTATCACAACAAGAGAGCCAAATTCTGATTCATAGCAGAAGAGAGTTGGCCTTTTCATCAACCTAAAAGTCTCCTTTCTCACTCTTCAAGAACAGGCACACGCACAGGCAGGCCACATGGCTGGCTGGCTTTCAGAAATTTGACTTGTCTTTTGGGCCTAACATTTGGATAATGAACCACAGATGGGCCTATTTCCCACCAACTTTCCAATAAGCCCAAATCCACTTTAGACCCTTTGAATTTGCGCCTTCTTTTTGGGGTTAAAAAGGGTTGTAAGACAGATCTTCCACCATAGTCTGTTGTTTTGATTCAATCTTCCAATGTCCTCCCAAACCACCTTAGAATACATACTCCGTCCGCCCCAACTACACTAATAATGGGGTGTATTCATTTAGGATTCTAGAACGTTTAAAAAGATTTTGTTTAGGTGCCAGCTTTTCTAGAACTTGATGGAACTTTAGAATTCGTATAAAACTTGATAGACTTTCAGAAGACTTATATAATTTTTTAATAAACTTTCTTAAGATTTGTATGGCTTTTATTCCAGACTTGTATCATTTCTTTAGCTGATATGGTTCCTTGTTCTTTGTAGTCGTAATGAGAAAACTCCAAGCGCAACACCTTTCAAATTCATAAATAGATAGACACTACTACAATTTAGTTAATCAACGACTCAAAATAGACGACGGTTTTGTAAAATCGTCATAGTATATCATCTTATACACTACTAAAGTGGAGTTGCGCTGGGTTGATTTTTAAAACACGACACTTGTCAATTAACAAGCGTCGTCTTTTAAAACACACTAAACAAAAGGGGCGGCTTAACCTCTACCTAAAATTCAAATTTCTCCGTGTCTGTGTGAAAATCTTATCTCTCCCTCCTTGGAACCTCCTGAGTTCGTCTCTTCTTCCTTGAAACCCTCATGAGCTCTCTGAAACACTCCCCCTCTCACTTTTCTACTCCTCATACGTACCTACCAACCATTGACGCCGCAATGCGATTGACACAGCTACGTTGTCGACGCCATAGTCTTCTTCGCATCAGTCACCACTAGTCGTCATCGATGCCATCTTCATCCTATACTTCGTCGACACTTGCAAACTGACGCTGTGAGGTCGACACCACCACCAAAAAGACATACAAACTCTTATAAGGTTGTCAATTATTTCAATTTTCTATCTAGTGATTCAATGAACAATTCTTATAAAGTCTTATATAGATATTTCAGAAGAAAAACAAGTATAAACCCTAGTAACAAGCATAAACTCTAACCCCAAACTATAACCTAATAACAAGAAAAACACGACAAAGAAAAATCATCGAAAAAGAAAACCCAATGAGGTATTAATCAAAGAAAAAATAAGGAGCATACCTTCACAGATAGAGGAAGGAAGCTGTTCGTCTTCTATTGCAGAGAGAAAAGCTAAGGCGAGAGAAAAACGTTTGATGAAATACTTGGGGGGGAAGTTAGATTTATTATGGTATTCGTTATTTGTAGCTCTCCCCTTAAAACTTACGAAAATTTATCACTTAATGAAATCCTTCCAAATATATGACCTTTCGAATACACCTAGATTTGATTTAACTTTTTTATAATCCTAATTGAATACACCCATATTTGAATGGACTTTTTAAAAGTTCATACAAGTCAGAATTGAATAAACCCAGACTTGTAAAACCTCTTTTAAACTTTGTATAAATCCAAATTAAATACACCCAAAATTTTAAAATCTTTTGAAACAGTTTATAATCTTAATTGAAAACACCCCCTAAGAAAACATCAAGAGCGTCTTCCACTCGCAGAAGATTTCAAATTTGACTCACTCAAATCAAATGCATGGATAATATATTGTGAGTTTTTCTATTTAAACCGCACACTTCTCTTTGTTCACCCCAGTACTTAAATCATAAAGCTGTTAAGTTTATTATTGTGTAAAAAGACAAAAAAGATCATTGAACTTAATACTTAACCCTAGTACATCTATACACACACCCCACACACTTCACCGGGAATAGGCTCAAGTGCACGGCTCAAGAGAACGGGAGTTAAATCAAAATAATTAACAAACGCATGGTTCGAGTTATTTTTCACACACTGCCCCTCAATAAGGGCAGAAAAGGTTGTGGCATATGGGACAAAGCGCTTTCTATCAAGTTGTTTAACAAGATATGCAGCTTTCTTTGTTCTACCCTCCTTGCAGAGTCCCAATATCAATGCACTATAAGTCACGATATTAGCATTTACTTGATTCCTTGACATCTCCTCAAAAAGCCTACTGCCCATCTCGCTATTACCTTCTTGGCTGTACCCTTGTATCGAAGTATTGTAAGTTACGGGAACAACGTTCACGGCTTTCATCTAGGTCCAGCCCTTTGGATTCAAGAATTGTTCTGTGGGGTATGGGAAGTGGATTCCAATTACTTTTTCCAAATTTCTCAGAAATTGTGGGGTTTGTAAAGGTGGGTTCTTTTGCAATTGAATTGGGCAAACTAGAAAATTGACGAAAAGAGAACTTAATAAGTTATTGGATCAATCCGAGGGTTAAGTGGGGTGAGTGTAAATTAATATTTAATTTGAGGGTAGTTTGGGAAGATAGTGGGGTTTTCTTAGAAATTGTGAAAATTTGAATTAGAAGTTGAGGTGAACTTAGAACATGGGGTGAACAAAGAGAAGTATGGGGTTTAAATAGAAAAACTCTATATTGTCCGTAAAATATCTTATCGTTTGGATAAGAATTAGGAAAAAGAAAAAATACACAAACAGAAACTATCTGTAAATTTATAGTCTTAGAAAGGCCGAGACCTTGAATTCCCCTCCAAACCTTTTTGCAGAGCAATGCTCATATGATATCGATCATAAGCTTTGAGATTGCAGCTTCCTCTCGCCTCAGGAATTCTAGGTGCCAAGCTAAACCCTTTTGCTGATCCCAAACCTTTGAACTTTGAAGAGACTGATATTATGTTTCCTATGCATGTTCGCACCAACAAAGAGTAATTTCTGCACTATACAAAGGAAGGTAAAGTCAATAATATTACATTATATACAAAGACTGCCTGGGCATTAATTTTTAAACCAACACAAAATGATGGCGAGTTCTAGTTATAAATCGGCCAATTACATTATTACGCCATGATCAACATCACTTCA